TTCTCTTGTTGTTTTCCCACTCTTTTCTATACCCGCCACTAACCACACAGAATCTTCCACATGATTTTCTGGTTAACACTTTCAAGTCTACCTGTGCGGACACAAGTCATAGAAATTCCATTGGTCTCATCAGCGGCTCTCTAGCAGCGCTAAATAAGCGGCCTACAAATTGCAAGTCCAAACCAAGCAACTATTCACTACGGCCAGTGCAAAACCGCGGATAAATTGGGAATGTTGTTGGTTAAAAGAGCCAGGGCCACCAAGAGGGGAGTTGAGCCTTACAACCAAGACGTTAAAGTTCAGAAACGGTCAGTTTCCTATACTTGCGCAACAAATGTCTAGTGACCTCGCACAACCTGGCGCGCTCGTTGAATACTGACGTGTTTGTCTCATTTGTATTCTACTCGGAAATAGCTACATATAAGCCCTCCCAACTGGATGTTTACTCCACAAAAGTTACGGTTTCACTGGAAAAACGTTTTGCTACAGAACGTACAGTTCTTAGTCGGTCAATACTATCGCTCTCCAAAAGGACAACTGTGTGGTAGGTCCAACCGTCTCGATCAACTGCTATAGCTTAGATTGCTGCAACTGCAGCGCCACTTATCTCATTCAATCATATACCTTGGACCTGTGGGAAACTTTGGGCATTCTTCCGTGTCGTACGACTGGGCAAGCCTAGGTAAGGTTGACGACTTTATCTATCACTGCTTTTCTACGTTTCGCTTGATACAACCATCTGTCTATCTCATTTGTATCCCCCCAATCAACGGTAGAAAAGAGTAATAATCGAGTCCTAACCAAATCTGGCATCAGAAACATCCCAGGCAAAGCTTCACCCCAGCCACAAACCTTCCCATCAGTGGTAGTAATGAGAGTCAGAGGTAGGAGGCTTAGTGCCGCCGTAAAAGATCACAGATTGACCTCAGGAGGACAGTTGCAATAACCACCTCCCGGGAAAAGTCGAATTCCTGTCTGTGGTCTATCAACGAGCATGTCTTTCTGGTACCACCAGCCCAAACCCTAATCCAGCCGTGAAGGCTACCACTGAGAGACGGAAGAGAGGGAAAAGAACATCGTTAACCAAACGTTCTGGTCAGGCTGACGGCTGCCATACATGTGGTCTCACCCTAGCCGAGAGGGATGCTGCCTTCGAGTGTAACATCCGCAATAAGTGGGTGCACAGTCAGTGTGATGAGGACATACCAGACCAATATCACACCTTCATGGCGCGCTACTCATGCACGTGGTTCTGGTACATCTGCCCACAGTGCCGCATAAGGCCACTCTTTTCTAGAGGCTCGCTGATGGATGTCGTAAAAGACATCATAGTGACTACTGTGATGCCGGCACCCACACAGCCTACTACCCCAGGCCCTAGCAGCAAGAGTGTCAGCACTGTACCCCGGCCAGTCACACCGGTTAATAGTCCAAAACGACCAAAACGACGACCTGGTGCGCCACCAACTAAATCAGTCCCTAACCCTGAAGCCACTTTGGCGGCTAACCCCACCGTACAACGGGAAAAATGGGTGACAGTGGAAAAGAAGGTGCACTCTTCCCAAAAAACACCACCCACAGTACACGAAAATAGAGAAGCTGATGACAGATCGAATTCCATCACCTTATTTAATGTTCCTGTGTGCCATGATAGTCTCCTTGAGAACAGAGAATCGTTTGACAACCAGCAATGGGAAACCGCGTGCACCACACTAGGACTGGGTAGCCTAGAAGCAAAACTGTGCAGGCTCTACAAAGGCAACTACCCACCTCAGGGAAAGCCTCCGCCGATGAGAGTTACCCTAGGCTCTGCTAAAGAAGCGGAAAGATTCTTGCTAATGTCACACACACTAGTCATCAACAGGTCATCCAGCATCAGAGCCAGACCAGGCCGCCTTTGGTCAGCAGGAAAAGTATCTCGCGAGGCGCCCCAAACGCTGAAACCAACAACTATGGTTGTCCACGGCATACCAGAACTGACAACCGGCACAGTCGTGGAAAAGTATGCTCACGACATCCAGCAATGGCAGTGGTTTTCAGCGAGGATGGGGCTAAATGGGACAGCAGCGGCGGTGGTCTGCAGACTGTCACGTCCCTCACATTTGACGACGATAACAGCACCCCGGTCGGTGGCTGTTAACTTCGGCTGTCATGAACTTTTAACCGGCGTACTGCAAACTTGGTACACAGTAAAAGGTAACATCAGTGGGAATGTCCGCTGCTGTGAAAGCAGGCCCAGGACACTCCAACAACAGCAAATGGCAGCACCTCCTAGCGCTGAAGCCACCATCACTGTCAACAGACAAGATGCACAATCAAGCCTGGACTCTATGAAACCCCCAGAAACCATTGTGGGAAGAAACGTGATTGGACCGGCTCCACTGCGGCTGGCCGTCATATAGCAAGTTTCGCCATTACGCACGACTACCTCCACTCTGCCAGCACCAAGATACCCCATGTCGCTGGAAACATAGCCAAGTGTCTTTACAGTAATGTGGGGGGACTCAGAAGTAAAATGGGGGAATTACGATTTCTCTGTTCCTACCTTGCTCCAACGATCATAATCCTGACAGAAACTTGGTTATCACCGGACATTAGCGACGTCGAAACTAGTATAGACAGTATGCGTGTGTTCAGGAGAGACAGGGAGTTTAAGGAAGGAGGCGGAGTGGCGATGCTTGTAAGCGAACGAGCAACTGAAACTCTGCTTTCAGGGCATTAGACTCCATCTGGTGTCAATTTAAGGTTGGACACACCAAGTACCTGGTAGGAGGCATCTACAGAACACCTACTAGCAGCGTGGAAGATAACCGACAACTGCTGCAAGTAATGTCCGGAGTGACGTCCATCGGGTACGACCAGGTCATTATAGCCGGCGACTTCAACGCTCCGACTCTCAATCTTGGGTTCGACCGAAACCTACTCAACACTATCAAAAAGGCTGGGCTGCACGAGAATATTGGTGGTGACACTCGCTGGGGGTCGGGCGGAAAGCCGTCCAAACTGGACTACCTTTTTACCAGTGACGCACTGCTGGTAGGAAATGTACAGGTTCAAACCCCCCTCGGCTACAGCCATCACGGCGTGGCAGTGTTCGATCTGGTACTCAATGAACAACTGTTAAGGGAGGCATCGCGCCCTTGTCTTTGCCACAACAAAGCGAACTACGTGGCGATGAACCAATATCTGTCGACAGCACCATGGCCTCAGAAGTGGGGCAACCTGTCGATTGACCAACATTGGGAACTGGTCAGAGATATCATCAAGAGGGCTGTCTCTGAAGACGTCCCAGTAATCACAGCGATACCGCGGAAGCGAACCTCATGGCTGAAGCGAGGCACTGAACGCCTTTTGAAGGCCAAGAGGAAAGCATGGCACAAGTGGAGGACTTCTAGAAAAGAGTCTGACCACACTGTACATGTTGACCTAAGAAATCGATGTAACATTAGAGTGAGGGAAGACAAGAGGTCACTCCAGACGAACCTTTCTCAAAAGCCCGAGGCAAACCCAAAAACCTATATCGGTTTACGACAGGCAGAAAATCCACCAGCCAGGGGGCTTGCGTCCTGAAAGGCCTAAACGGAGAGAACCCCTCCGGACCAGAGATCACCGAAGCCTTTAGCACCACCTTCGATACGCAACTGAATACGTCCCTATCGAACCAAAATTTCAAACTGTCCGACCGAAATTCAGCACCTCCAAACGCAGTAGAGTTAATCTAGATAAGTGCCGAGCCATGTTTCTCCGCACCCCAGACTCTCAGAAGGTACCCTATTCTCTCTATGGAACACAACTTTCCTACACCATCACAGAGAAAGACCTAGGAATAATACTGACTGACAAACTAGACACTAGTCCCAATTATCCAGGAGATGCCTTCAAAGCCTACGCAGTACTGCAATTCATGAGCAGACAACTCGTTGCCCTCACCCCGGAACTATTTTTAAAGCTGCATAAGACCTATATAAGACCCCACCTAGAAGTACACAATGTCATTGCACCACCATATCTGAAAGGAGACGTGAACCTCCTGGAGAAAGTCCGAAGGCGAGCTACAAAGGGTGTCGTGGGAATGAGGCAAGAACCATATCATGACAGGATGAAAGATCTAGGGCTCTACTCTTTCAGCTACCTTAGATTACGTGGTGACTTGATAACGGCTTACAAAATACTGAGTATCCCAAGTTGTCCGAACAGTGGAATCCTACCGAGCGGCCACTATGGAGGTCCTCGTGGTAACCCAGGGAGGATCGCTCACCAAAGAGCGAAAACCCGTGTGAGATCACACTTCTTTCTGCGAGTTTGCGGCCAGTGGAACGCATTGCCTGCCGAGATTGCTACTGCTCCGTCTGTTGACAGCTTCAAGAAGAGGTTGGGCAGTTACTCAGCGACGCGTGGTTTGCGCTCATCCAACTGGGATGTGGACTAGGCTAACACGACCTACCTACTAGGTACGACCAACAACTACTGAACACTTTGGTACAACCGTATACCCTCCTATAGACGTCCCCTCCAGTTACCGTCTCCTACTAAAAGAATTACCTTATTCTCACTCGTCTTATCATGTCATTTATAGTTCTTCCCTCTGACGTTACGTTCTCAAACTTTAACAAAAGCTCTCCTTATCACCTATTCCCTATAAACCTACCAGTGTTTCTTCTTCCATGCCGCTTCCTTCCCCTTTCTTTTTTCCTTTTACTATTTCATCTCCCTTTGCACTTTCTCTTCTTTGAATTCTTTGCACATATTTTCAGTCTCCTTTTTACAACCAGTCTGGTCAATTGTCTGCTGGCACGACATTTTAGGAACCCATCTGCATCCCAGTCCACGTAAGAAAAAACAAACACACAGCAGAGTGGATAGACCTACTGCATCGGAATACATCAGAGACCTGGAACTGTTCCGCAAGACCTAGGGGCGAGCGCGAAGAAATCAGTTGGTTGACACTAGCTCCTAGAAAGATATTGGATATTGAATGTTGGACATGGCAGTCTAAAGTCATTGTGAGCGCGCATTTTGGATGGTGCGCAACTAGGGTGAAGGGTGTATTCGCTCCCGTTTGTTTTCACTGTCTAGCTTTCAAGAAGAGCGTTGAGTATACTTTAATATGTCCATCGTATTCCTTGACCAATATCATCTGAAATTTGTGAGTATTTACGCTTTATTTTAAAAGTAGATGGTTAATATTGAAAGCATATACCTTATATTGAGCATTTTTGTATCCAAAAGGATTTCCACCCCTCATAGCTGTATTTAGCGTTGCACACAATACATCTTCCTGGATATGGACAAATTTTATGCGGTTCTTCATCATGAAAAGGGTCATGGTGTTGATATCATTTTTCATTGCAAACGTCGCGTTGTCGCAATGGCGAACAATGGTTCATAGGGTTCTGCGTCTATCTTAAAGTAATAAATTCTGTATTTTTTATGATCATTTGTTTTCTTGGGCCGTTAAAAATATGGTGGTTCATGTGTTGTGCTTCAGTTTGTGAAAGTCGTACGTGTTCATTGACTAATCTTCGAACAAAAAGACCTTAAGTCTCAATAATGTTAATGGACCCACTCGATTTTCACAAACTAAAGCACGATGCACAAACTATCGTGTTTTCAACATTCGATGCATAAAATAAACCAAATTGTCCCCAAATGTCTTCACTTGCGGACTCCGATTCCAAGACAGAGGGAGAAGAGCAACTAAGCCAGTCAGCAAACTGTATGTAAGAGAATAACCTTACAAGATTATCAAGAAATTAGTCTTAATGCTCAGTGAAATAGAACAACTGAAATGTAGGCCGATTAAGATAGTAAAGCAAACCGATTAAACATTTTTGATTTAAGCGTCCAGTAAAGCTAGAGGAGCTGCTTTCAAAAACCCAGAAAGACTCAAATTAAAAAGTTCAACAAACTAATGGAAGATAAGTTCCCTATAAAGAGTGAAGCTGCGAATGAGACTCCACCAACGGTCAATCGAACAAAGTTGGTGATCAATCAGCTAGAGAATTAAGCTCAAACGAAGTAAAAGTTCTCGAGAAAGGACTAAACTTCAACGTAGTAGTGGCTCAACTCAAGCCTGAAGATGTTATGCCCAGCTTAGAAGTAGCACTAAGTCCAGTAAATTAGCCAACTGCTAACCAGTTACGTGCACAATGTGCACTGACACTAAAACACCACAAAAGGGAGGAAGAACTTAAAGAGACAAGAAATATCTGCGCTGACAAATTTTAAAGGTGACAACAGTATAGTAATTGCCAAGGCTGACAAAGGCAATTCAACAGTAGTTATCGATAAGGTGGATTACTTGAAAGAAGCTGATGAGCATATGAGGAAATTAAAAAACCTGCAGATACAGTTGTGAATAAGATTTTAAAAAGTTTGCAGCTGATCTAATACTTCAAATGAAGCCATCTCTGGGGTAAGTATTAGTGGTTTAATTTAACGCCTGAAACTGATAATCCTAGCAGAATGTATAGTACCTTTGAAGTTCATCAAACGGGTTATCCTACTAAGTCAATAGTTGACTTTAGAAACACCAACAATTAAGTGTTTAGCTACAATACTATACCCTAATAGAAATCGCTCAATATTTGGGCACACCAATTCCGTTGAACTGAAACACTGACTAAATAATATACAATTGGATGAGGGAGAAAAGATGGTCAGTTTTGATGTGACGAGCCTGTATAAAAATATACCAGTTAAAATGGCACTTGAGACATTCAGAAATAAACTCCCAACTGACCATGAACTCGGTAATAGAACCAGTTTCTATTGAATATATGCTAGCGATAAGACTACGTTTAACTTCCACAGTTTTCAAATTTCCAGGCAAAATGTATAAACAAACAGGAGTGGCGGCGGGATCTCAAATATCCCCACTCGTAGCAGACATATTTATCAACATATGGGAACAAATTGCATTGGAAACATTCCAACCCCTCCAAAAGTATGATGGCGACATGTAGATGACACATTTTCTGTGCTGAAATCGGAACACATCCTGAGATTTTCCGCACACATTTACTCGATGATAGATGTAATCCAATTCACTTATGAATCAGAAACTGAAGAAGGAGAATTACCTATATTGAATTGGTCGATCAAGAGGAGAGAAGACGGAAGCTTAGATACCAGTGTTTACAATAAAGAGCAAGCTCAACTTAAAAGTAAATTGAGAAAAAGTCTACGCAACGATCGCGAACAGTGGTGGGCAGCAAAGGCTAAAGAGATGGAAAAGGCAGCGGCGATCGTTAATAGTAGACACTTATTTAGACTTATTAAGGAGACTTGGAGGGGGTGGGGAGGTCAACTGCCGTTAGTGAGGCTATAGCGGAGAAGGACGGATCTGCGATTCACTTGCAGGGGAGACGACTGGAACGATGGGCAGAACACTTCGGGGAATAGTTTAACTGGCCTCCAGCTACTATTGCGTTGCCCGCTAACCAGTCGCATCCTGAATGGGACATAGAGATAGGTCCCCAAACACTAGAAGAAGTTGAGAAAGCGGTAGGTAACCTGAAGCGAGGAAGGGCAGCAGGACCAGACGGGCTACCTGCTGAGGTATACAAGAATGGTGCTGCAGTGCTCTTAGTCAGGTTAACGGAAGTGTTAGCTAGTATATGGGAATCAAATTCGATCCCCTCTGACTGGTCTAAGTCACTGATTATTTCAGTCCTCAAGAATGGCGAGAAGTCCTCTTGTGATAACCACAGAGGAATCAGTCTGACGAACATAGCGTCCAAGATCCTAGGTTCTATAATTCTCCGATGCCTGAGTGAAGCCCGAGAAAACCAAGCAGGCTTCAGACGCGGCCGCGAGTGTATCGACCAAATATTCACACTGCGCCAGGTCCTGGAACATGGGCACGCTTACAGACGCCCGACAATAGCTGTATTTCTCGATCTGAAGGCGGCGGCATTCGACTCCGTTGATCGTTAGAGCCTATGGTGAATTGTCCAGGGAGCTATGCTCATCGAGTGATGTCTGTCACGGATGCCCACTGTCTCCATTCTTGTTCAATTTTATCATAGATATTCTTATGGAGGTCTCCCTTTCGTCACCAGGTTACACATGCTGACCTAATCACTGGAGAATTTTCCTTAGACCTAGAATATGCAGATGACATAGTCCTGTTAAGTGAAGACACTGACAAGATGCAGAGTCTTCTAAACACTTTGAGTGGGAATTTGAGAATGTTCGGGATATACGGTTCTCAACACCCGAATGCAAATTTGCGCTCCAGGACTGGTCTTTAGCGGTGCCGCGGCTAACAATAGAGAGTGAAGTGGTTGAGAGAGTTGACCACTTCACTTACCTGGGTAGTAGGATCAACGCTGGTGGCTAGCTCAGTGGCGGGTGAAATCTCTGCACAGATTCAAAAGGCTTGATTGGCTTTTGCCAATTTACGCCACCTATGGCGCCGCTGTGATATCCGTTTGTCTATTAATGGTCGCGTGCATTGCATCTGCACAACAGTCCGCTCTGTTCTACTGTATGGCTGTGAAACATGGCCATTGAAGGTGGAAGACATGAGAAGGCTTCAGGTGTTTGAACACCGTTGCCTTCATAGTATAGTCTGTATTCCGTGGTGTCACCAGGTGAGTAACACAGAAGTCAGGTATAGAGTTTTAGGAAGTAGAGGTAAATTTGTTGACGAGGTTGTGAACCTTCATCGGCTGAGATGGTAAGGACATGTGTTACGTATACCTCGTTACATAATGTTGGCCGAAATAGGTTCAGGCTGGAAAAAGGCTCGAGGTGGTCAATCTAAGACATGGCATCAACCTATGAAGTGTTTGACTGTTGGTTTGAGCCATGTGGGGCGATGTAGACTAGTCGGTTGGGGACCGCGAGACAAGAGGAGCCAGTGGTTGGAGACTCTAGGTGATTACATGGCTCAGAACCGATGTTAGTGGCACAGATGTATACGCACATTATCCTCATCTTAACGCTAAACCGAATCTCACCATTTTGTCATCCTTTCTTTCTTTCTTTTCGTACTTTGTATTTCTTTTGACTGAGTTTTCTGATCTTAATCTTGCGCCTCACCACCTTTTTACTTGATGTAGTGACATGAGCTGTGGCAACTCGGACCGTTACGCGGTAATGCCTGGTCCTATGTTGATATTGATGATGATGATGTGTTTATAGGAATCCAATAGATTCGAATAGATACTTGAATTTCGCATCATTTCACTCTGTATGTGTCAAAGTAGGCTTGATAAAAAGTCTAAGTAATCGGACTAGGAGTTTGATTAAGAAGTTGGAAAGCCTAAATACGGAAATGAAATACACCACAGAAACTTATTCCTAATAAATATCCTACAGAATTTATTACAAGGTTTATAAGGACTGATAAAAGAAAGAGTGATGATTGCAACCTGCCTAAAAGGGGATTCAAACCCTTTATAGTGTTGCCGTATAAAGAATGTACATCAGAAATTTCACGTAGAATTCTTGACAATGGTGGGATTAGGGTGGCATTTAAACCCACAAACCCGCTCAGAGAGAAACATTGTAGGCTAAAAGATCCAAAACAGCCAATTAGGAAAAATAACCTAACCTACCTGATACCACGTAATGGTTGTAAGGTCAAGTATGTAGGTCAAAGTAGAGACCGAAGATACGTCTTGCTAACAAGGGCCAACGAGCACGAAATCTAGGTCGAACAGAGCACCCTCCTGATTGCTTCCATCAAACCAGCAAGTGTAACAGTTTATTTTTTGTCTTTTATTAACTTTGCAGTCAGAATAAAACTAGTCGTTTTTATCAAACCTTTACCTCTTTTATCTTCCGAAAGCCGCGTCATCTAACTTGCACTTAAACATGTCTCTCCCTGAAACTGGAAAAACTGAAGCTACTCAAATTTTTCCTTCAGAACAGTCAGTAATTCAAACCTGGGAACGTCAGCAGGATGTTCATGTAGCTCATCCTCATTTGGATATGTTGGATGCTTGGTCTTCAGATGGTGGCAGTATTTCTTCGTCATCATCCTGCTGCTCCGACACTCACTGCATTAATTCTGATGATCCAATGGAGTCTACAAATTGCGGTGAATTAACTGTAGAAGATCGTATCAACTCTACAAAAGACATGCGTAGGCCAATGTTAGCTCAAAACCGTAATCTTCATTACTTGAAGTACGTACATATTTTTTAATTCCAGAGGTTTAATCATATATTTTTGAGATCAATGTGGATTTTTAATTTAGGGGTAGTATTCATCATGGACTGATATCAGTTGCAGAACCAGTGCTACCAGGTTTAGTTATGTTTTAGAGTTTAGTATCCATTTCAATACTATTATTAAGTTCTACTTTTCACCACTGTTGGTCATAACTAATCAAATTCATTCAGAATCACAACTCTCAAGAAAAAAACAACAACTAAGAGCTGTCTGTTTAATTCTTAAAGTCCTTCTCGGCCTTTCTAGCCTAACCCAGTAATAATAATAGTGGCGGTAATAATAATAATCGCTTTATTCCAAGCAAAATTGTTGATACACGGGAATTTTCCATGTGTAATATTTAAAACAATTTAATCTTCACATAATATTTTCAAATAAAAAAAACTTCAGTGAGAACAACATCCCTCACTGGGAGGCAAGCACATCCGGCTGACGAGTCCCAAATAGAACGAAACGCACCTCCTGGATTACACTGCTATCTATTATCCATCAATAATATCTAAATAATTGTAGCACCTAAATACTATAAATGATAGTAGTATTATCAGCATAAGTTTGGTGGCGTAGAGGCATTCAGTCAGCACAAAAATGAGCAGTTCATGCTAGTTATACGATTTGGTATTTGGCACTTACGAAGACCATACTCCTCGACAGAGAACGTTTTCTCTTAACATATAAAATGGCAGACTGAAACCATTTTTTCTTAAGTGCAGAGTACATATTATTGTTTGATGACATAATTTAGGGATAAAAAGTTCGAAAGGAGTATTTCGATACAATATATTCACTTGAAAATGTTTCCTATCACAAGGTTGTCGCCACGTCGTTGGTGTAGCCAGAATGTCATAAATTAATCCCTTTCATTGAAAACTTTCGAACCACCTCAATGCGTGTTCATTAAGTGACATCGGCTGTTGAATGATACTAACAAACAACATGCGACCTGGTACAGTTGTGCATCGGTTTCAAGTTCCTACATTTCACATTAACGCAGTGAAGAGAAGCGTGAGCATAAAAAAGTCGAAATGCAGTCACTGACCTTGTGCACATCCAGAAGAAGACTCGGTGGTCAGAACTAGACAGCATCAATGGATGAAGTCCTTGATTTGTTGGTTTCAGCCAATTAGGGCGATGCAAACTAGCTGGCTGGGGTCCACGGGACAAGAGAAACCAGTGGTCGGAGACTCTAGGTGATCACATGGCTTAGAACCGATGTGACTGGCGCAGATACATACACACATTATCCTCGCCTTAATCACATCATCTCATTCTTTCTTCCTCTCTTTTACTACTTTCCACTTCTACTTCCTTCGGCCGATTTCTATTAATTTATTCATCTTCCATTTTATTGTCTTGTTACTTGATGTGCTGATGTGAGCTGTGGTAACTTGGATAGTTACTCAGTAATGCTTGGTCATATGTTGATCTTGATGATGGTGATGATGCACATCCATACGCTAGGCAATGAACTACACCTGTGTGAGGGCTAATGATGCTACCTGGTTGCCCAAATATCTATAGAGGGAAATTGGTTTGAACTCTTGTCCCATTAGTAGGAAGTCAAGTGCCTAGACCAATGAACCACGGTTTCACAATATGAGTAAAACCGACACCATTAGTGGTAAATTTGGTAAAGCAGCAAGTTGGTTGAAAGTGATTACTTATGAGTGATTCTGAGTTTTCGGTATTTAACAGCTATTTAGTTTAGTCATGGTATTTTCCTATCACACTGACGTGACACCAATCAATCAATATCGAAACGGGACCAGGTAATACTACATAGAGACCCAAGTTACCACATCTCAAGTCAGCATAACAAGTAACAAAATAGAACTATGAAAGATGAAGAAAGTACGAAAATCGGTCAAAAGCAATGGAAAGCAGTAAAAGATAGGAAGGAGGAAATGCTGAATTCAATATAGCGGTTAAGATGGAGATAAGGTGTGGATATATCTGCGTTACTTTCATCAATTCAGAACATTATCATCTGGAGTCTCCAACCACTGGCTTCTCTTGTCACATGGTTCTCAACCAGCTAGTCTACATCTCCCAACATGGCTCAAATCAACAGCAAAGGACTTCATAGAATGATGCCGTATTTTAGCCTGATCGCCTTGAATCTTTTTTCAGCTTGAAAATATTTCATCCAGCATTGCACGACAAGGCAGATGGTGACTGGCCATCCGTAACACATGTTCCAGCCATCTTAGTTGATAAGGGTTCACAACCTTACCAACTAGCTTTTTTCTCCTCCTTAAAACTCTACACTTGATTTCTGCATTACTGACGTGGTAACACCAAGACAGACGGCCTGTGCTATGAAAGCAATGGTGGTTAAACATCAGAAGCCTTCTCGTATCCCCAATCTTTAATGGCCATGTTTCACAGTCATAAAGTAGGACAGAGCCAACTGCTGCGCACTACAATCGACCCCTGCTAAGCAGTCGGATACTGAGATGGGGTTACTCAGGTGTTTAGTGATACATAGAGGATCGGTAAGAAATTTAGATGACTTAGAAGTGGTACTGTTATAGTATCAATAGTTATAGTGTATTGTAGTTTTGATAGCTTTCTAATGAGTAGTATTTACATTAGAATATGATCTCAGCATTTTCCACCTTTCCTCTAGCAAAAAGACGACTCAATAAAGATTGTGATTAAGACTTACAAAACTTGCATTGCAATATACAACTTGGTTTAATAAAAGTACTTTTTAAAACTATAGTTTATAATCTATAAAGCTAGATAAAATAAATGTGAATGAATAAATAGTGAATGTCTTTCAAACTCTGACCACCACACTTTAACCAAGACGATCAATAGCATTATTACAATTTCGGAAACAAAGCTTTGGAAGCGAAGTATGTGAAAAGGAAATCACAGCCAAGCAACACTGAGTTTATGTATAAATTTCCTAGTGAGACTGACATTTTGATAAGGGGTGAATCAATGATAAACTATTATAAGAAACACTCATTCCGATGCACGGGAAACTTAAATGATCAGATTAGTCAGTCATCTGCTCAAATTTCGTCAAGCTTCCAGCATGTACAGTTGTGACTCATCAACCTTAGTACTCAACTTCCAAACAATAGATCAAGGGTTTGATTTCCCCTCCATCTACCGAGGCTTGGGAAACTAGTCAGTATCATTAACCCTCACACAATATGTATGGCTCATTGCCCACTTCACGAATATTCATTTGGTTGTTGAATGCATTTAGAGTCTTCGTTGAACTTCCCAATCAAACCTTGGATGAAGTACTAGCATTGAATGTTCACCTTCTACTAAGATCAGGATAAGCAGCAAATCTATGAATGGAGAAATCTTCAGCTCACAAACAGAAGCGTTTCTATTGTTCTCAAGGTTAACTGTCAAGCACTAATAATAAGAGTCACTGGAATTTTACTCAGAGCATAAGTGTCAGATTTAGTCATCATGGACTGACATCAGTTAGAGGAACATTGGAAACCTGAGAGCACTCAACAGCTGTTTCGTCCTAGTATGGGACTCCTTAGTAGTGCGAACCCATAACTCCGCCAGAGGTCGAATCCAAGACCATGTTCTGTGGTCAGGCGAGTCAACCAAGTCGAACATAAGGAAAGTCGCTCGACGATGACATTGAATGCAGGTTGCGCTATCGTGAACTGACAAAAGTTGGGAATGTGGACCACTGGATTCCAACCCAGTGGGCCAATGGTAACATGCTGACCATGAAACTTGAAGGTCCTGGGTTCGATCCCTGGAGGGGTGGGGTCGTGGATACACACTTCCGGAGATTCCCATACTAGATAGACGAAACAGCTGTTGAGTGCTCCCAGGTTTCTTATGTTTCTCCAACTGATGTCATTCCATGGTGAATTCCAACTTAAAATCAATTAATGAATCTCCACAAACCTTCAGACAGAACTATCTTGAATTTGGTTTCAGTTTATCGGAAAGCAAATAAAGTAATTTTATTCCAATCTTTCGGATAAAAATTTATCCAGTATTTTGCTAGGACTCGGAAATTCAAAACTTAAGAAAGTTGACCAGTTTAAGTCGTGTTGAGAACATGTTGGTGATACGTTTACGTTTATTCAAGCTTTGGAAAAGAAATGATTTCTGTAAATATCATGCACAATAGAACGTGGCTGTTTTCGAAGTGGTTTTAAACACCTTTTATACATTTAGTCCATCATAGTATATTATTTAATCTTTTTATTTGTGTTCTTAACTCCCTGGATTGATGGATGTGAGTATTTGACCTAGTCGTTCTGCAAATGTGTTCCCTACTATAGCTCGTGATTTGTTCTAGTAGTCCTAACTGAAACTATAGTTTTAAACCTCATTTAAGACTGTTTACTTGTTATCCACCTGATCTCTTTTTAGGAATAAACGATATTTAACTTTAAACAAAGTCAAAAAACTAAAGCTTTTTGTAGTGTTTTCAGGTTTTTTGTATGTTATTTTCTTGCTGTTGAGTAGTAGTGTGTTTCACTGATTGATCGTGTAGTTGGGCATGACAAGTTAACAGGTGGTTGTATAAGTAGTGGACTACGGTCCAAAAGCTGTTGCTCTGTGTTCTACTCTGATTCGTATGTTTTCATATGATCTTCATTCGACATCTTTGCAAATAAGTTTTCTGTAAACATTAGTTAAGAAACGAAAATCCAAGTTATCTCACTTGAAGCATCCATCTTTGCTGCTTTTATTTATTTTCTAATAGATGTGCTGGTGTATACACTAGTAAAGAGGTTGTTGACCAAGCTATAGATCGTTGGGAATCGTATAAAAGTTTATGCTATCAAGGTCTATCTGTCTTAAGACAACAGCTTGTCGATGCTTATATCCCTCATGCAATGGAAGAAAACAAAGTGTGTTCAGCCAAACAAGTATCCAAGGGATCAGGTAAATAAGTGTTTTTATTTGGTGACTTCTTACCCATTTCGAGAAAAGTATAGAACGGAGACTTATCCTTTTTTTTTACTTTAAGGCCATTATATCTTACCAGTGCAATTTCATGATAAGAGTATGTTACACGTCTTCGGTCATACATGCCTTTAAAGCATTAAATACATCTGCCGGATATGTTAAATTAATAAGTGTTGGAGTGATACTAAAAATTTTGAACATATGAAGTTACCACATAAGAAAGCCGTGAAGACCCATCGATTGGCATTGTATGTCCATACTTTCTACTTCCTTCGTTTTCAAGGGGAATATATTGACATAATTCAGTACCTTCTAAACACTGAGCACTTCATTTCAAAATACTGCTTTAAGGGTGATCTACTTCAATACCCTATTGAGATAATAAAAAGAGCAGTTAAGTACACTGCATATTTTACTTACCGCGGATTGGCATCGTGCGGAGTCCCTCATCGTTCCCTAGTGTTTTCATTACTTCTGTTATCATTGACTTCATTTTCTAGTTTACTATCCTGTTAGTTCTATCTGGAGGTTTGTTAATTGATTTTAGGTTGGTATTCATCATGGACTGACATCAGTTGGAGGGACATTGAAAACATGCGAGCACTAGACAGCTGTTTCGTCCTAAAATCAATTAATAAACCTCCACAAACCTGCAGATAGAATCAATCTAGCACTCATTGGTGACTAGCTTCGAGAGGTGATTCCTGAAGTTCCAATAAGAAGTCGTGACCAGTGGACTCAACCAAGTCGAATATGAGGATAGTTACTCAACGGCGACATTGCATGTAGATAGCGTTATATCGTAGGAAACATGGACCATTGGATCACAACCCAGTGGCTCAATGGTAGCGTGCTGGCTACGAAACCTGAAGGTTCTGGGTTCGACGCCCCCGAGGTTACGGTCGTAGATTCTCACTGATGGGGAGTCTCATACTAGGAGGACGAGACAGCTGTTGAGTGCCCCGCAATTTCTAATGTTTCTCCAACTGATGTCAACCCATGATGAAATTGAACCTAAAATCCTGTTAACTGTTTTTCGTGGATGTTCTGATTCAAAATGTTATAATTTCGACTCAGGTGTAATCTTACCAGGTATTATATATTGTTAACATCTTTTTGTCGGTGTGTATTACTGAAGTATCATTTTCAAGATAATTAGCAAAGATTGATGCCAGATAGTTAAAAGTGATTCATGGGACGTTTTCAATCTAGTTTTTTCGAGTTTTTTTTGGCACTAGTCCATAAGGGAACCGACACCTCCCCAAATATCCGAACAACTCCAATCAGCACTTTGAACAGATAAAATGATATTAATAACACCCTAGTGACCAGTCAGTGTAGGCAAAGGTTGATGAATGATGTCTTAGAGAAAGTCTTAACCCAGTAGGTTATTTACAACACACTATACTCAGAATGGCGCAGATGCATCCACATATTATCTCCCTCCACCTTAATCGTCATACTGAATTTCAGTATTATCTCATGCCTCCTTGCTCTCTTTCCCCAACTTTCTATCACCTTTGACGACTTACTTCTTTATTTCTCTGATACGTCCTTGCTTAATGTGGCTACTTGGAATGTTACGCAGTAATCCTAGGCTGCATGTTGGTATTGACGGATTCCACTAGGTGGATGTATTCATTATCTCTGGAGTAGAAAAATAATACTGTTGAACTGATTTCCCTTTTAATCATAAGTGAAAATAAGTTGTTAGTGAGTCGATTTCAATATATGATGCCTGTTTATCATTGTAATTGATGTTAAATTTCACAGTATTATCGGGAGTTAATAAAAAATTTCCAAAAGGGTTTAAACAAACATTGTAACTTAGTTGACAGACTGACAATGTCTCCTCATACTCGATGGACAGATAAATCAAAGTAGAACCTGTCATAGTTCACGGCAGCATGCAAGGAGGAAGTTGATCAGAAGAGTGATATCATGAAAGACGAAAGTGTGTTGAGAGTTTGGGGAATGAAAATTTTCACGACTAGGAAGATGACAAGGAGTGTGTTACATCTTTACCTGTGTGAGAAATATTGAGCCGTATGACCGGAAGTCTCCAACTACACTTGGGTCGTGTATGTGCGTGTCAGAAATGCAGGATGTATCCGTGGCTAAGGTCCCAGAGTTTAGGCAGGTGACGAATGTTATTCGATTAGGCATGAGGCTTGAACGTTGAGAGCTTTATTGTGAAGTTGGTTGGGTGTTTCAGGAAGACTAGGAATAGTGTTTTGTTGGTTTGGATCATAAACAATGAAAAATTGAGGAAGCATTAGAGGGCTTACTATTGGTACTAGGAAGGTTAGTTAGCTTTTGCAGACTGCTGGAAACATGTAGGTGGTTGATACTTTGTGGCTGTCCACACCGTGAAAGATGTTTCGATAAGGTACCTGAAAGAGGAAAGAAATTAGTTCTGCGTGTCTTCAGACCCCAAGAAACGTTTGTTTAACGTCGGTCATATACAGTTCTTTTGAAAGTTTTAAACTTACTTTTGGTTTTGTTTTATCCTAAGCATAAAAAATCGTGCCACTGGCATTTAAAGATCACATGGCATAGATTGTGGGCTATTTTCGGATTAGACCGTCTATAATCTACACTTTTTACATAGAAGTTAATATTTCCACGGACTACTAGTTGATAGTGCAAAACACGTTACTGCTGTCGCACGTTGTCCAATCAGCAGTGTGAATTCACCGTCAGATGCCCTACCAAAGCGTTAATCTATTTACACTATGGTGGTAAGTGCTTTCAGTCTTACCAATATAAAAGGGACCTTTCTGACATAGTACGATGTTAAAAAATAATCGTTCTTTTACTCACTGGGTTAGTGTGGTGCAGAAGAAGACCGACCACCATGTCAATTTACCAGCTATCGGTTACGCTCTTTGTCGACGGTATGTCATTGGGGTACCTACTACCAACAGTCAATTCCAAGAACACTTTCATCGGGATACTCATCCTTTGTTTGTGTCATTGTTTTCCAAGTTACCAAACTCTAAACTACTTGTATTCATTTCATGTAAGGTTCTCATAAAATTTTCAGCTTTTTGAAAATTACTACCAGCAAAATCTGATATATTTTTAAAGACGAAATAAATCTTACATGTGTTATCAACCCTATAATGTATCGGTGTAATTTTTCTTTGAGCAGGTGTGATATCTAATTTATCGGCTCGAAGTCAGCTGAGACAACGTGCTGCTAAAAATATACTCCGTCATTCTGTGAAGGTAATGCTTGCATTCTTTTATTTCGATTACATTTTCTCAAGAAACGTGTACTTAACCGTGTAACATACACTTAGATTCATCAATATCGTGACAGATGAAATTAGGACATTTAAATGGTGGAATCCATGATGCGCTTTTCGTCCCGTTTGGGACTTTTTAGCCGCATCCAAGTGTGTGATGGTGTTCCCGCTGAAACTTGAACCCAGCACTCATCGCTTCATGGATGCCACTACCGATCAAAACTAGGCCAATCTCTCCACATTAAATCTTTGAACAGTATTTGGTTATGTTAGTTAGAGGCAGTCGGACCTAGGTTTCGGGCTTGTTGGAGCTCGTCAGCAAAGCGTATCTGCAACATTGAGCGAAATGATGTTCCCTTTGAGATCACAACTTACGTCAACCAGTGTTTTAGTCAGCGACGTTGCCACTCTGAGTAATTCAGGCAAACTCGCACAGGAGTCCTTTCACCAACAGAGACCGACTTCTTCGATTTGGTATAATAATCAACTGGAAATTACAAGTATAAATAAATATCAGCTGTAGTGACTCATATAGTCACTGAGATTTATCAGTTTATTTCATCATCCGACTTGAAATTCTCGCTCTCTTTATAAAGTGTTAAAGTGTCCACTATGATTATCCAGGTCCTCCAGATCAGTTTAAATTACTTGGAATCCTTCACCACCAATCAGCATACCCTGAAGTTTTGAATAAAGACACGTGATCATATGTGACGGTATAATATTAATTGAAGCGACAAAACTAATAAGGAATCCCCGTCTAGAAACACCTGGGAGTTATTAAGGTTACTATAAATATGTATGTAAACCGTTGTATCCTGTAACTGGTTGGACGTTTCAATACGCTTGTTGTCACACCGTTTTTCCTACTTCCGAGCGACCGTCAAGAATGGAATATTAAGTGCAGACTTTTATGATAGTAATGATGGATAGTGGCTGGCAGTGGAATCCAGGATGCGCATTTCGTCCTATCTGGGACTCGCCAGCCGGACATACCTGCTTTCCAGTGAGTGGTGTTGTTCCCGCTGGGATCCGGACTCGGGAGTGATCGCTTCAAACGCCAGAGCGTTATCCACTACACCACCGAGCCACCATAGCCACTTCTTGTGTGACGGGTGTAGTTTTTAGTATATAATTGTTTGATATCATGCCGTCGTTGATTGGACCGAATTGATCGGTCTCTGTTGGTATATGGGGGATCCTGTGCGGATGCCTCGATATTACCTGTGCTCTTATGATAGTAATGACGGATAGTGGCTAGCAGTGGAATCCAGGATTACTATCATAAGAGTTCAGGTAATATCGAGGCATCCTCACAGGATCCCATATGCCAATAGAGACCGATCAATTCGGTCCAATCAACGACAGTATGATATAAAAACAATCATATACTAAGTACAGGGTTTGTTCAAAAGAACAATAACACGCTACAGTACAATGACTTCACAGAAACAAACAAAATTACTTTGTGTCTGTCAGAAAGAAGAACGATTACCTACACAAATTCATCACGAGCTGCCTCTCCAGTCCATCAGTAACTGCTAAGTCAACCAGGGAAATCAGCAAACGAACCATTCTACTGTGAGTAAAGAACATATCAGGAATCACGACAAAACTACTGAGACCCCTCAAAACATGCAAACTGAAGAAGACAAACCACACATCACCTACTAAATTAACTGCAAAAACCCCGTTCTGCATTACATTTAACAAAGTGGTCGCGCTCTTCACCTTTTACACGAATACCAGTTGGCTATTAAAAGTCACCACATTTCATTGCTCATATCGACTCACGTAGACGAGTATGGACAAGAATTGGATTTTGAAAATCAATTCAGGTTTAAACATAAACCCAATCTATTAACCAGTGAGAAAAGTGTTCAGAGATTAGTTAGAAAAACGGCCAATAGGTAAATCTGTGCAGTCAGTACCCCAACAATAAAAGGAAGCTATCAATCATTTACCACTTCTTCAGAACAACCTACTGAATTACTCACTTCACATTAAAGTTAGTCCTGATGACGTTGTCTAGAAAGATAATGAAAGCTTCACAATTAAACAATTCAGCACAGAGAACATAACGCAACCGAGATTGTCCACCTATTCTCTATCATTCCATAATGTGAAGGTATTTGTTCACGAGTTCACAAGTGGTTGACCCACTCATTGCCTTTCTAAACCGTCCAGTTTTCAGTCGAGCTGTTCAAGTCAGATAATATGGATGTGTTTAACTGGCGTACGATTCCGTCTTAATACTTGAAGCTAAATTCTTGTTTGACTTTCAGCACACTATTTCATTTATTGGTCCTTCATTACTGTCATCAGACCCTTATATGAATTACTATTAGTGGTAGCATTATTATTAATATCAATACGTTTTAATGAATATGATACAGTGATATAAACAAAGTATTTTGATTTATTATTTTGGTATTTGTATTTCCCAATGAATGTAAAACAAAATAAATTTGTTTCAACTGACATTTCGCTTTTCGAGCTCAAATCTAAGTCATACATACCTTCCATATTCTACGGTCTACCCAAGGTTCACAAATCTTTCGTTCCACTAAAACCGATATTGGACTTTACCAGCACACCAACATAAAACCTCTCCAAATATCTAGCTTCAATACTTAAACCCTTACAAAAACACAATACACAATAAAGGACTCACTTGATTTTAAATCTAAACTGTCTCCACCTAAAATCGAGGAAGATGAAATTATGGTAAGCTATGACATCAATTCTTTATATACTAGTATTCCAGTTGGTAGCCTAAATATTATTCCTAATTTATTAGACTCAGATACGTCACTGACAGTAAGATGTCCAATGAATGCCAGTGACATCATCAATGCCCTAAAATTCTGCTTTAGGGACTACTCACTGGACACACATAAAGTAAAACCGTACAGGTAAACTAACGGCGTTGCTATGGGTTCACCTGTTTCACCCGTACTAGCTAACCTGTTTATGTGTAAATTCAAAGAAAGTGTCTTCACTCACTTATTAAAGCCAAAAATATGGCTATGTTAATGATACATTCGTAATTTTAAAACGTGACTTATACCAGGTATTCTTAGATCAACGGAACTCGAGATCTCCCAGCGTCAAGTTCAGTTCAGAAAATGAAACAGATAAAGCGGAACTACTTTTCTTTGACTGTCTTGTTAAAAGAAAATGATATAAGCATTTCCAAGAAAGCAAAACATTCGAACAAATATTTAGATTTCAACTCATCACATCCAATTAGTGCGAAAGTTTCTGTTGCCTCCTGTCTCTTAATAAGAGCACACGCTCTAGTAACAGATGAAAATGAAAGAGTTAAGAAATTAAAATATGTGGACAAGATACTTAAAACGAATAAATATCCGGTAAAATTCATTCGCTAAATAGAAAATAACATTAAATTAGACGGTAAAACTACTCCTAAATAATGACCCTCATCAATAGTTATCCCATACAGATCATACACATCGGATAAAATTAGGAGAGTGCTGAATGAACCCAATATCAGAGTGGTCTACAGAACATCAAACATACTGCACAGCACCTTAGGCCATTTGATGGACGAAATCCCTTTAGATTTACAATCGAATTGGGTTTATAAAATAAACTGCTCGTACTGTGATGCAGTATACATCGAACAAACTTCCCGTGAAATTGGGAAAAATGAACACCGATGAGCTCCCACCTGATCCCCCAGAAATCCGGCAGAACTGGAAAAACTTGAAAATACATCACCCATAGCTCTACATGCTATAATTTCAGATCACAAGGTCAATTTCGACAATATCGAAATTGTTCAGAAATGTGGCTTTCGAAATTATAAGAGAACGTCTCATAGCAGAATCTCTTCACACTAAGTGGAATCGAAATTGTCTAACTAGGAATGAGTGAGTAAAACGTAGCTTGACCTGGTCACAACCCACTCCCACATACTGACGTAACCATGATACATGCGATAAGAATTATCAGCATATGTGTACATATAAATCTCAATCTGTAATTCATACACAACACGCTACATGTGGATATCGTCTTTATTCTTCAATTCTGACGATGCAGAATCATTCATGCGGATGAACACTTATCAAGTTATCATATATAAGCTTGTCAGATATTGTAAATCCCGGTTTACTATAACTTTTATAAAACTATTACTGCTAAATTGCGAAACGTCAAATGAAACAAATTTATTTTGTTTTACATTCATGGCGAAATACAAATACCAAAATAATGAATATCATTTACTCAATACCGACAAATCCCAACTTGGTTTCGTTATCTATAAAGTATTTTTATATGCACATTATCTATCGGCATCTATGTGCATTTTACTTTCAGACAGCAAATCAAAGACATTTATCCTGTGTATCTAAATTTGCTATAGTCAGTAATCGTATAGCTAAGTGGCGTAAACCTACTGCAAGTCAACAATGCCGTTTTCGTGATCCTACAACAACAACTTGGGAAAAACGTTGTACAAATCAATGTGTTCCACTATTACCAGTCTGTTCTTATCACTTAGTTCAAATGCGACCTGCACCAGATTATGATTTGAATTCATCGGATATATACAAAAATTTGAGTAATGAAATGAATGCGGAAGGAAGTATCCCAAAGGCTATTCCTAAATCTGAAGAGCTTGTACCTGACTATAGTGTTAACGCGAAGACTAACACTAAATCTGATGCTGAACAAACTTCTCTACCCGCTCAAAGTGTTTCTGGTGACCGCAGTCGTCACTCGTCTTGTGGAGATCTTTCCACCTGTACTTTGAATAAAACAATCAAATTTGATGATCATATTAAATCTCAATCTTCTCGGATAAACCGAAGTGGTAAGGGACACTTTGATCAGTCCAGTACAGTCACCCCTAATTCTCCCATCCTACAGATGCCATCACAGGTGAGCAAAATTGTCACATCTGTTACTATCAGGTGTGGTGAGTTACTATTCACCTTTTAACAGTATAACATTTGAGGAATATCACTATTTCCTGACAACTTGGCCTCTTAATCATTGGAACTTTTAAACTGTATGTTGATTTTGAAATTCGCTTTCACAAACTAACGCTTCCAATGTTCCATTCACTTGATCACTCCACGGAAATCTGTAAATACACGTATATTTTTACTTCTGATCATCGTCAGTCCTAACACTAATGAATTTCGGCTGAATTCAAACCAGCAACCACCGGGTTTCCTCCGGATGCCTCTACCAGCTGAGCTACGAGGTTCGACTGCTGGTCAGATTTTTGTTTCGTTTCAATTGTCATGGGTTTTGCCCGACTACCATGTGACTTCGTGACGTGTTACTACAGCTTGACCGTATTCACACTGGCTGTCTAGTTAGGACTTCTCATCCCAATCCAAATCCAACTGAATCAGAAAGGGGAAGCATCGTATTGATTATCATTTGACTATCAGATAACCGTAGTTTGGCCGACTAGTATTTATACTGTGTTATGATCGGATCTCGTAGCTCAGCTGGTAGAGCATCAGGCCGGAAACCCGGTGGTCGCTGGTTTGAATCTGGCCGTGGTCCAAAACTTTCATTTAATCTTCAATCATCACCCAGTATAAATACTAGTCTGCCAAACTACAGCTGTCTCAGATAGTCAAATGATAACTAATGAATTTCTATTTTGTTTCGATTCTTTAGTGAATAAGTCGAAGGATATTCAGTATTAGTTTCGTAAGGTTCTATTTTCGTTGTTCAAATGTGAATCGCATACTCTTAATCTGTCACCGGATCACGTCAGTTACGAAGTAGGGTGGAATTATTATCCATCTTCAAGTTAAGAAATCAGGCTAGCTCAACAAACCCATACTTATCTTACTTTAGCACTATGTTCCATACCTGTAGTGGCTTTGTCTCTGATTGAACTGAACTTGTTTCATGAACATATAAGCCGTTCTGATCAGAAACGTTATTACAAGTCACTATCTGGTGTATATATGTTACTTGTTAGTTGCTTATCATCCAACTGCAGTCTGAGTGGAACGCGGATGTCGATCCTCCAACCTCCACTAAATTTGAGGAACTGCTTCAAACTCAAGATGAGGCAATACAGCAGTACAAAACAGTTTGTCTGCAGAAGTATGTAAGGATGCAAATCACGGTATGTTGGCTAGCGTATGAGATAGAATCACAGGTACTTCTATCTAGCTGGTCACGAATGTTGGTCATCATCACTTGTAAGAAACGAGCCAACCTCATAGGAACCAAGTTGACGGACATTGTATCTCCCGTCCTGAGGTTGCTTGTCATTTGATGTCTGACTGAAACCCAAGAATAAAAACCTCCTAAGAAACAGACAAGTTTGATGTTTGGGCACGAACATTCATTAATTCAATTTTTTATCTTGATAGTTTGTGGTTCTCAACACAAATTATACTTCATGAATCAGTTCAAGAAGTAGCTTTGAATTCTGAATCAAAAGGAGTTTTGGCATTATCTGGGTGTAAAAGAAGTGTTGCTAAAAGATTAACTATTCGAAAATGGAGAATTGTTATATGACGTGACAACTAACGGTGTCTCATAGGTATATTCATTGTCATAATCTTCCTTTACATTTTTAACAGTAATAAGCGTAAACTTACTTGCTCCCAACTTTCAGTGATAAATTTACCTCTTGAAAGATAACTGTGTAACTAAGACTGCACAGACGAAATGTACCGGTTAAGCGAAGATAGTAACAAAGAACCATCTCCTAGACTCTTTGAGTAAAATCATTATAATGTTTGATGTGTGCTTTTAACTGGTCAATTAAAGATGGTACTGCTGCATTGACATTTAGTTGAAGTGTTTACAAGGTAGAAACTTGTTGAGTGCATTGACTTATTTGAGACGTTGTATTAACTTCAAAGAACTAATTAATTGTTGGTGAAATATGAACTTGTATACAAAAACGCCGCTAAGCACTAGCCAACATAATACACCTCTCACACCATCAAAATGTTTTTTTGACTGCCAAGATACAGACATAATGTGCAGCAGTCTACTGTATTCTGCTGGATATCGACGAAACCTGTAGTTGAAAGTGCAAGACACAAGAGTTCTAAATACGTGAAGTTATCCATTGGGGTAAACAAAGCTTTATTTGCGTTAAATTTAATTCATACGTTACATAAGATGTTTGGGATAGCCTTTGTAAACAGGCTGACTTTGATGTTAAAGTATACCGACTAAAGTTTACAAAAACTTTGGTCATAACAGGGTTGAAACCGGTAGTCTGTAGACTACTCCTCTATTCTTCTACTAATTAAGGTGAGATGTTTAGATGGTAATCCATAGTTCGTTGCTTGTATCCCACCGCTACCGAAGTTTTCAGTCAACTTCATTTATCACTCATCTTAATATATGCAACCATAGGAATTCATCTTTATTGTTCTGATTAAGGGTGATCTGTCTGGCGGCTACTCTTATCTTTATCCTCCTTCCAGATGAGATTAAGCACTTAGTGATGAACAGACAGTATCAACATAGGACCTATTATTACTGCGTAGCGGTTCAGGTTGCCACACTTCACATCACCACATCAAGCGAGAATGCACTAAGATGAAGAGGTTAAGAAGAAAGAGTTCAAAATTCGTAGAAAACACTTACTAATAACATATCTGACTGTCACACAAGCACCTGATTTCAAACATGAGAACGCTTAAGTTTCTCCGTCACTATTTGTATAGATCGACAAATCAGATTTCAAACAAGCATAGAAATGCGTTGCTCCAAGTTGTTATAATTTAAAGCAACACTCGAAGAAAGAGTGAATACAAAAAGAATGACATTGAGAGGAATAAAAGTATATATATATATATATATATATATATATATATATATATATATATATATATATATATATATATATATATATATATATATATATATATGTAGGAGGCGACACAAATAATCAATGCAGGTTTGTGGAGTGTTCACAATTTTCGCTAATGGAAAGTTCATACACCTACGTTAATTTAATCGATTTTGAGATATATCACTACCAGTTGTCAACGTCTCAAGAACCTTAGTCATACGGCATACAATTCTTTACGTGGCTCAGATCGATAGTCAGCGACTGCGTTTTTTTCTTCCAACCCAATCTTTCTTCGGTTAAACTTAAGCGTCTAGCTAGGAAGTAGCTTAGTATGCCCAGTATACATTTACGGTTGAAGTGACAACACACACGGAACTCGGGAATTAAACTGTCTTACTTGTTTATTTTTTTAATTTCTAGCATTGAATATATTTACACCTGTATTCCATTAGGTTTTCAACATTTTTATGGTTTAGTTTATGCTTCTTATCTCTATTATATACTCATTTTGTGTATGTTTCTACTTCATTTGTGTAGTATTTGTTTCGTTGTTGCCGAGGTGGCTCGTTTAACAATTGTACAGAGCCAGTTATTGCTTGGACTCCATTCACGCGCTGTATACATCATTCCACTATGGTATCAGTTTGTGCTGGTAGTAGTGACACTACGCAAAGCAATTATTTAGAAACTGACATTGAAAATGATGACAAACAAATCAAATACCTTACTTAATGTGAAACATTTTTTGTCTATTTCGTATTATAGATTATGCATATAACTCTTTTAACTGTAAATAAATTCTATGCATAAATTATTTCCTTTTGATATTTTAAAAAAAATTTTTTACTGTATGCGAAACATAAACTGTTTCGAAAGTAATGATGGACTCGTCAGCTGGATGTACCTGCCCTTCCCCTCCCCCCTTAATGAGTGATGTCGTTCCCACTGAGACTCGAATTCAGCACTCATCGCTTCAAACGCCAGTACGTACGTCCAACTGACGAGTCCCAAACAGGGAAAAACGTATTTCACAGATTCCACCGCTGACTGCTATCCATCATTAGTTTCAAACTTAGATTAATGATAGTATCGAAGCATCCGCATAGGAGCCCGTCTGCCAATATTAGTTTATCAATGCGATTCAATCAACGGTAAGGAACTACAAACAATAGCATAAGCAGTTTTGTTTTGATGTCTTTGTACTTACCTAAATTTCTTCTTACATTTTTCTTATTCACCTTTCGTAAAATATTCTCCTTCAAGATGAACAATACCGGTGTATTCATTGTGTCTGCACTTCGTAGTCCTATCGGTCGAATGTCTGGTTGTCTATCTGGTTTATCAGCGCATCAGTTAGGTGGTCAAGTGATCAGCTCTGTACTGGAAAATGCTGTGGAAGGCTCAAATAATCCAAAAGAATTAAAAAATTACATTGTGGAACATTTGGAAGAAGTTATACTTGGTCAAGTATTGACAGCATCTACTGGACAAAATCCTGCTCGACAAGCAGCTATATTGGCAGGTGTGTGTATTTATAATTTTTACTGTTATGTAGTAAATTAGTTGAGAGTGAAAGTGTGTTCCATTGGATTAACTGCTTGAAAACCATCCAGTAGGCTATACGCTCAAAGCCCCCTCGTGCCGGCTAATATTTGGGAGGCTACATATCACCAGTAGCTATCACCCAACAGATGCAACTTATTCCTGAGTACGTAAATCAGTAATTGATTAATGATTTTAGCACCACACAATATAGTGACTTCAAAGTTTTCTGGCATATATATGATGTGGATACCTGCACGTTTAGTAAGCATTCTGTATAGTTGGAATATGACTAACACTGATTAACAAAATCAACGTGGGACTTGGCATACAGTTGCATCAGCCCAAGTAGACACAAACAACAGGTGTATACAAAAAGACCAATATCATATTAGACAAAGTTGTGTGAAAGAATGAACCATCTGAAGATAATTGATGGTGCGAATATTCAAACTTTAGAAGACGTGAAAAAGTGAATACATCTGCGCCGTTGTGACCGATTTCCAGCCGTGTCACCAAGATTCCTATCATTTCAGGGACTTCAGCCAGGTAGTCTGTATCTCCCGCACATGACTCAGACCAACAGTTAGAGACTTCATCAACTGGTGTCATGTCTTGGTCTGGCCACCCTGAACCCTCTTCCAACCATAATCTAACCTGTCGTATCATGGCACTTTGAGGTAGGCGGTGGCCCAGTGTGCGCAACACATTTCCCAGCCACCTCAGACGATGAGGGTCCAGTCAGGTTTATCAGTCGACTTGATTGTATCGCCTAGTACCCCTCGCTTGACTTCAACATTGCTCTCAAGGTGGTTCCACCAAATGGGAGCGATACTACGAAGACACTAGTGATCGAACACCTGTAACCAGTTCATGCCTTCTACTTTTAACGGCCACAGCCTTATAACATGACAAAACGGACTGCAGAGCAATATAATCATCCTTTTATATGTAGCTGGATATGTCCCCAGTTGCTGCCAGGGATGACTCGGGGTTGGCAAATGCTAAACAGGCCTTTTGTGTCCAAACTGAGACTGCGTTAGCCACCACCCGGTTCGGGCTAATGTAACTCTCCAAGTACATGAAGTAGTCTACACATTCCAGTCCTGAAGCATCATCTTACATTTGACTAGTGTCAGTGGGACGCATGCCAAACATACTCAGATTTCTGGTCAACGCGTTCACAAGACTCTGCATTTTGTTAGCCTCTTCATCCAGCAGGATGTGGCTCGTTTCTTTATGCACTCTACTTTCAACCCATGGGTCTCAGATTCGAACATCACCCTACCTACTTCAATCTTCACAACCAGGAAATATCGTTGCCCATCATACAACAAGGAACTGTAAACCAGATTCTATTAACTCATGATCCCATGTTATCTTCAACAGCAGTCAAATAATGTAGATTGCATTGTTTTCAATAACTCTGAAGAGGAGATATTTTAATATGGAACTGTGATTTAGTAGGTTTTTTTTGATTAACTGAAGATTATATGATCGTGAATTCGAATCCTATTATGTCCATTATGATCTGATCAATCCTGAAGTATAAATAACTGTAAAGTAACAAGATTTAATCATAGGAAAACATTAAAAAGGACTGCAGCGTAGAAAAAGGTTGTTTTCTACGAAATCATTCTCTTAGCTAGAAATTCATGAATATATGGTAGAAAGGGTAGAAAATTCCAGAGTAATTTTCGTTGAAAGGTCAGTATAAATTGCATGACAACAGAAAGTTATGCAATGTCTATACGCATTTAAAACGGAGAAGTAAACAAGATGGTTACAAAACAAAAATAGTTACGTCGTGTGGGAACTATCTAAAGTGATCGATATTCTGCGATACCCATGATAAATAAAGAAGTAAAACATACTTCTTTTTAACGCATAATGATGGTTTGAACTTATAAATCACCAATACTTCAGCTATGTCCAGATGTCTTAACGTCTGATTTAACTCATCATCAATAAATAAACTTTTGGTGGGTAGTTGCACTATATTGCGAATGGATATAATTAGGAAACTGTGGACCGTTAAACTTCGACCCATTGGCTGAATAGTTAACACTTTTGCCAAGAAGTTCGAAGATCTTGAGTTAGATTACTGGTGGGATCGTGGGTGCGTACTGCTGGCGATTCCCAAATTAGGACGGAACAGTGCTCCCAGGTTTCCAGCGGTTCTTCACCTAGTATCAGTTCGTGATGAATACTACATTAAAAACAATCTTTTGTTTGACTAATTATGTACTTTCGTTTGATAATGCTGAAATCAATGTATGTCCTCACAAAAATGTGCATCTGTTTAACTGTTTATTTGAAATAAAAAGAAGGATATTTATCGAACGTGTATCATGCACAATTTAATGCAGTATTAAATCTGTAAAGACAGATAAGCAACAGATATGACTGTATTATTGTGGTCGATTCTTATTCATGTAGTGGAGAGTCAGATCAGTTCGAAATAAGTTCTATCTGAACATGTGTAACACATCCTAATCAACTTGGTTGGTAAAGGTTGATAGCCCTATCAACTGGCTAACCTTATTTGTTTATAACGATGCACATAATGGTAGAGAATGTACACATCAATCGAGTTGCAATTGGCCAAGGTAACTATGTCTCGTCTGCTCACTGAAGACACAAGCCTTTCAGAACGCACAAAACTTAAACGTTCAGGTCTGATGGAACTCATTGATCTTTGTCTGACAACATACTTCTAGTTTAATGGCAAGATATACAAACAGATGAAAGGAACCCTAGCGGGATCACCGATATTTGAAGTAATTGTAGAAGCAGGGATCCAGAGACTGGAAGCCTATCATCTTACCTGTGGTCAAACTAAAAATTTAGATTCGTTATGTGAGTGATACCTTTGTCATCATCGATAAAGATGATTTGGAAAACACTTACAGTTTGATCAACAACTCTTTCAGTGACATCAAATTCACAGCGGAGAAGGAGTCAAACAACCAACTACCATCCCTGAACATTTTAGTCAGTAGAACAAATGCCGGGAGACTGGAAACCGTCGCTTTCAGGAAGCCGACGCATACTGATCAAATCCTCAACTACAGTACCAACAACGCATAAAATTAGTTGTGTGCAGACTGTATTCAAAAGAGCGAGAACACACTGTAGTAAACAATTTCATGGAGAAACAAAGGAAATTACTTGGTGTACATCCTGAAGAAGAACGGTTACCCATGAGAATTTATCAGATGCCGATCCCGTGTATCATCAACTACAAAGTCATTGACAGAAATCAACAATCTGATCATCCTACAGTACATAAAGAATGTATCAGAGATCACGACAAGATTACTGAGACCACTTGGAGTTGATGTGGTTCATAAACCAACAAATTCTCTTCAAAACATATTATGTAGACCAAAGAACGCAACAACCAAAGAAAACAAACCAAATATCACTTACAAAATCAACTTTAATAACTACATTGGACAAAGTGGTCGCCATCTTCACCTTCGTTTACATGAACACCAATTGGCTATTGAGCGTCACATTTCATCGCTCATCTCGATGCACGTGGGTAACTGTTGACATGAGTTCAATTTTGATAATGTAAAAATCTTGGACGGAGTGAGGAAACACATAGAATATCAGAGAATTCTTAGGCACTCAGCATTCAAATCAGTCAGCGATCACTAGGTTTATAGACATAGACCCAATCTATCAACCAATAAAAAAGATGGTAAACAACAAAAAGGTCAGAGATCAAGCAGCGGGACAGCCAACAGGAAAATCTACGCAATGACACAACAATCAAAGGAAACAACCAATCACAAATCTGTTTGTCAGGCAGGCTACTGAATCACCCACGGAGAGGTATTGACAGCTCACTTCATACTGAAATTAGTGCTCATGATGTCGCTTAAAAAGACAATGAAAGCTCCGTGATTAAACAACCCAGCTCAGAAAACACAATACAACCAAGACGACGCATATAACCTCAATATTGTCTACTGCATAGTGCCACCGCAAGTGAGTCCATGTGTTAAAGACATCTATTGCCGGATGTTTTTAGTGTCCTGACACCAACGCTCATCCTAAAGCATTATAGATTGAACTGCTGTACCAGATACCCATCATTTGATAGGAAATCAGATATCTAATCAGTTTCAGAGACCGAGCGATTTGATAAACTTTACACTGAGATTTCGTTACTGATCAGCCCTTTCAAGTCGATATAGAATCCTTAGTGAGATAGTCAACACATGCAATCACTTCACCTCCTATCCTCAAACAAGACTTCGAAGCAAATTAGATGTCTGCATTCAGTTATAGAACTCAAGTCAGTATTTGTGGGATTCTCGTACGTTTACTCACAACCCAAGGCTTACAACTTTATTGCACACAGTTCTTGTATTTAGGTAACAATGTTTGTAGGCTCTACTTTTAGTCATAAAATCCTAAATTCTGTTCAACATGACAAACATTACTGAAGTTGGTTTGTGGTTTTCATATTGTTGTAGTAATGACTAAATTGCTTTCATGCTTAATTAACTAGCGAATGCTTCGAAAGTTTACGCTTAAAACTATGTCAATATTAATGTCACAATATTGTCAACTATATCCAAATAGCTGATATCGAACATTATGCTCCTCTCACTATATATACTATAGGAATTCCTTATTGTGTACCAGCTTGGGGAGTGAATATGGTTTGTGGATCAGGCTTGAAATCTGTATGTATAGGCTTCGATCGATTAAATGCCTCTTCATCCTCTGAAGGCGGCTGGATACTGGCCGGTGGACAAGAATCAATGAGTCAAGCACCGCATACTACTCCTCCTAGAGCATGTCTACGACGTGTAGGTGGTCAAAATACTTCAGAACTTCCAAATTATGGGAATTTCACTTTATTAGATACAATTATAAGTGATGCTCTAACGGATGCATTCTGTAATATATCTATGGGTGCAACTGCTGAGATTGTTGCTAAAAGGTAATACAAAATAGTTCATTGCAACTTTTTCTTTTGCTTGGTTTTTGAATGGTTTTAAAAAACATGAGGGACTATTTTTCAGTAGCTCAAAACCATAAGTTTTCTTTTATTGCATAGCATGATACCGGAGTAAATAATAACAATAGTAATGCCAACAGAGGTTAAGCAATTCAACCCTGTATAACGAGGGGGAACTACAAAAATCGAACAACAACAAATAATACCCGTACCACAAGTAGTTGCTCTCGCCCCCTAGTGGATAGCGCTTTGGCATTTGAAGCGAATGGGTACTGGGTTCGAGTCCCAGTGGAAGCGACATCATTCACTGCGGTCCAGGTACATCAAGGTCACGAGTCCCAAATAGGGCAAAACGCTCCTCCTGGATTCCACTCCTAGTCACCAAGATGAATATAATAATAATGCAACTCAGACACCACGTACAGATTTAATGTATTCATCTATGAAGTATATTTATCGCATCACGTTTTATAACTGCTACCTGACTATCTAAACTTCATTGAGTACAGTATAATTGAAATCTATAACTGTTATCTGGTCATCTGAACCAGGGAATAACAGCTCTTTTTGCTGCAACACGTTCTATCCACCAAGTTAAAACAGAAATGTACAGCTCTGTGTAATTACTTTAACTCCAGCTTATATATTATTGTTTAGGTAACCGATGATGAGCTTACTGAATTTTTGTTATTATCTCGAATTAAAAATCGATATGCACGAATTGGTCAACAGTGGGTAACCGATTTAGCTGTTTAGACCGTAGTGATGCGGGTTGAAACCACTGCGGGAACACCAGTTTCCCCATAGTTGTAGATCCGCCTTGCTTAAGAATGCCAACACCTATGAAACCCAAGTCGAGAGATTCGGCTGATCAACTCTCACCAATGCAATGTTGTGTTTTTCCACTTAACGGCCACATCGCGAAATTTGATAGATAGACTTCGACTTCAAGGGCCTACTGATGATCGATCTGGCTATATCGTCCATTCCTACAAGGAGTTAATCGTGGCCTGATTACCGTGGTGGTTTAATCTCTGACTTCAGCATTAAGTGACGTAGGTTCAGACCATTAAGGAAACTGGCGTTTCCTTACGATTCTATCCGAACATCTAACACGGTAAAACAGAAAACTGCAATTTCCACACAATTTGTCAGGTTTTTACGTAAGAACAATCCTATGTCAAAGTTAATTAATCTCCTTAAATGTGTCATTATTTGTTAAAGATTTGGAATTAGCCGAGAAGAACAAGATTTATTCGCGCTCAGATCACAGGAGAAATATGCAGCCGCTTTACAAGCTGGTTACTTAGTCAATGAAATAACACCAATCAAGGCGAGTTGTGTTATTCTGGCCTTTTCTTGTTATCATCATAAAGTTTATTTTGTGAATAATCTTCATATCTAAAGCATAATTCTGTGTATCCGAGATTGTTAAATATATTTTTATCCGCCCCCCCCTCACACACCTTTTAGGTTCCAGGTGTTGGCAAAGAAGAAGCGAAATTAGTGGATACTGATGAACATCCACGACTAGATACCACTTTGGCCAAGCTGTCGAAATTACGGCCAGCATTTCAAAGTGATTCAGCTGGCGGTGGCACAGTTACAGCAGGTAATACAAGCGGTGTTAATGATGGCGCTGCAGTACTACTACTTTGTCGTGGTGACCAATTATCGAAACTTGGTGAGCAACCTGTTGAAATTAAATTAGGAGATTCAGCAATAATAATAATAGTAGTAATAGCTCTATTCTGAAAGGCCTTTTGGGAATAATGTACAGAATTTTCAGCATATCTCATAATATCAGTTCGATAGAAACAGCATATATATATACATAAGAATATTTCCTCCATCAGCTACTTATTTGAAAAGGTAGAGCTAATTTAGGTATTATTATTATATTATTATTATTAGTCCCTTGGGTTCCTAGTGGAACATAGGGCTTCAGTAGCACGCCTCCAGTGACCTCTGTTCTCTGAGATCTTTTGAACCTGGTTCCACGACAGCCCAGAAGCTCTCATTTCCTCCTCGCATGACCTCCTCCATGTCACCCTCGGACGTCCAACTCGTCGCTTCCCATGGGGATTCCACTCGAGGGCCTGACGCGTGATGTCCTCAGTCGGCCTTCTCAGTGCATGGCCAATCCATCTCCACTTCCTCCTGCATATTTGTTGCGTGATAGGTTCTTGGTTGGTTCGTTCCCAGAGTTCCTTGTTGCTTATTTTTTCTGGCCATCTGATCTTCAGCAGCGAGCGTAAGCAGTTGTTGATGAATGTCTGTAGTTTATTGGAAATGCCTTTCGTGACGCGCCAAGTCTCTGAGCCATACAAGAGCACTGACTTGACGTTGGTGTTGAAAATCCGTATCTTGTTCCGCATGCTGAGTGCAGAAGATCTCCACACTGGTTTCAGGCTAATGAACGCCTGTCTTGCTTTTCCGATTCTGACTTTGACGTCCTCGTCCGTCCCGCCTGTAGTTGAAACAATGCTTCCTAGATAAGTGAAGGAGGTTACTTCCTTCAAGTTTCTCCCGTTGACGGTGATTGGAGTTTGTTGTTGTTGTTGATGGTGGTGGTGCGGTATCTTCATCACTTCTGTCTTCTCTATATTCACCTGAAGTCCCGTCTTAGCTGCCTCTTCTGTCAACTTGTTAGTTTTTGCCTGCAGATCTTCAAGTTTATGTGACATTAGGCATAAGTCATCGGCGAAATCCAAGTCTTCTAGGTTCTTTTCCGTCGTCCAGTGTATCCCCCTCTTCTCGCTGCCTACTGTTTGCTGCATGATCCAGTCCACCACAATAAGGAATATCATGGGGGATAGTAGGCAACCTTGTTTCACTCCTGTCTTCACTTCAAAGGCATCACTGAGCTTCCCATTGTGGATTACTTGGCATGTGGCATCTTCATATAGTTGTTGAATGAGGCGGATAAAGGTTTGCGGTACTCCGTAGTATTGAAGCAGTTTCCAAATTACTTCTCGGTCGACGCTGTCAAAGGCCTTCTCAAAGTCGATGAAGTTGAGGTAGAGAGCTGATTGCCATTCTATGCTCTGTTCTATGATGATACGAAGCGTTGCAATTTGGTCAGCACATGATTTGTACTTCCTGAAGCCTGCCTGTTCCGGTCGCAGTTTTGAATCCAGTGCGTCTTTAAGCCTCTCCAGGATGATGCGGCTTAATATTTTACTTGGGGTGGACAGGAGAGTGATTCCGCGCCAGTTCTTGCAAGCACTGAGGTCTCCCTTCTTCGGCAGTTTGACAAGGTAACCCTTCTTCCAATCGTCAGGTACCTTCTCTTCCTTCCACACCTTCTGCAATAGTGGTGTGAGCATGTCCGCTGTTGTCTCTGCATCTGTTCTCAGTGCTTCTGGCGGTATCCCATCTGGTCCTGCTGCTTTCCCGCATTTCAGTAGCTTTATGGCGTTCAGGACTTCCATTTTCGTTGGGGGATTTATGTTCACTTGTAATTCAGCGGCTGCAGGTGGTATTTCTGGACGAAGTGCAGGTGGTGGTCGATTCAAGAGCTTCTTGAAGTGGTCGGCCCATCGTTTCCTCTGTTTCTCTTCTTTTGTAATTAAATTTCCTTCTTCATCTTTTATTGGTTTCATCTGTGTTGGTCTCTTCCCTGATAGCAACCTGGTTATTTGATACAATGTCGTCAGGTCTCTCTTACCTGCAGCCTGTTCTGCTTCACTTGCCAGTGTGTCGTAGAAGTGTCTTTTGTCTTTGCGTGCACTCTTCTTCACTTCTTTGTCCAGTGTTTTATACATTGTGCTCAGTTCCTCTTGTCGTTGAGCATCCTTGCACTGGTTTATCTTCTGCTTCACCATCCTCCTCTCCTCTATCAGCTTCCAGGTATCCGTCGAGATCCATTCCTTGTCTTCTTTCTTCTTCCTTCCTAATACTGTTGTGCAGGTTTCTTTCCACATAGCTTTCAAAGACTTCCAGTGTTCTTCCACACAGGTTTCTTCAGGGATGTCCCTCGATGTCTCCCATTTTGTCTTGATGGCTGCCTTGAAGATCTCCTTTGTAGTTTCATCCTTCAGTTTCCGAGTGTTGTACTTGAATTGAGGTCTATCACCAGCTTCCTTGAAGGCTTTTAACTTGATTTGGAAGGTTCCTTGCACTAGATAGTGGTCTGAACCTACATCTGCTCCTCTTCTTGACCTTGTGTTAAGTAGACTGCGTCTCCATTTTCTTGAGATTGAGATAAAGTCGATTTGATTTTTAGTGTGTCCATCTGGTGAAGTCCATGTCGCTTTGTGGATATCCTTGTGCCTGAACACACTGCCTCCAATCACCAAATCGTTGAATGCACAGAATTCTGCAAACAATTCTCCATTCTCATTCATTTCACCTAGCGCCTCTCGACCCATGGTTAGTTCTCTTCCCGTGTTGTCCCCTCCCAGTTTGGCATTCATGTCGCCCATTAGAATTTTGATATCGCCAACTGACGTCTTGTCCAGTGTTGATTGAAGTTGTCTGTAGAATCCTCCTTTTTCTCTTGCTCTGCATTATTTGTAGGTGCATAACATTGTATGATTGTGACCTTTCTTCCTTTTGAGTTGAATCTTGCTGTCATGATCCTGGAGGAGATTGGTTCCCACTGCATGAGAGCCTTCGATGCTCTTGAGGACATCATGATAGCCACTCCCTCAGTGTGCTCGTGGTTGGCGTCTGGGTGACCGGAGTAGATTATTGATTCTCCAGTTGACAGTTTGGAGAGTCCACTCCCATTCCATCTGCTTTCGCAAATCCCAAGCACTTCGATGTTATACCTTCTCATCTCCTTTGCAATCTGGGCTGCCTTACTGGGTTCAAACATCGTGCGGACATTCCATGTCCCCACGTTTACTTTCGCTTTCATCGAGAGAAGACACATCGGCCAATTGGCTTCCCGAAGGCTTTCACCAACTGGCGTCATTTCGCCTCTCCGATTCCAGCGGGGAATAAGTTTGTTTTCATTTTTTATATTTTGTTTGTGCTTTGAAGTTTCTTTAGCGGTTAGATTTGTTTTACGGGGTAGGGTTGCTAGCCCTATGCCCAACCTTCCCTCTTTACCCGGGCTTAGGACCGGCTAGTAACTAGTAAACTAGTTAACCAGGCGAGGTTTAATTTAGGTATACAGTCACATAAACAATTAGATTCATATTGCAAGAGTAACAGTAATCAGTGTAATTTTTAATTATTTTGCTTTTAAAAAACTTAATTAGTTCGTTCATTTCTAACACTTTCTTCCTTGTGCAGGATGCAATTTATATAAGGTATGATAGACATTTTATGTTTAGTAGTATGTGTGTGAAGTCTCATGTACTTAATCCTGGTCTCGTCCGAAGACCGATAGGTAGAGCACTTCGGGCGAAATGTATGCTGGTCATGTGATAAAATAATTCTTGTCAGATGTTTGTTCATGACTGTTTAAAGGTACACCACTGGTTCTGATGACAATCTTCAAAGTTCTACGCAATACAGCATAATCTTTTTTAGCAACCCAAGAAAAAATAAAGGGGAACATTAGAGGAGGCAAGATCCAGGAGTTTGTTAAACAAAAACAAAAGGTTGAATTATACCAAAAACTCTCAGCATCCTGATATAGTAAGTTAGGCGGAAGATTCTTTTCGAAATTAGTGACATAATATTAGAGGACCAGGAAAGATTCGAAGAAAACTCCCATCGAGATAAATCAGACTTTAACATTCTCCAATACACAAAAATCATGAGACTTTAACAGTTTGCTGCACAGGTTACGTCCAGGTCTGAAAATATAATTGATAATCTGAAATTTTGAAGATTTAAGCACCCTTGACAAGATTTGTGCTAGTTGAAGATAAAAAATCAAAAAGAAAGAAAAGAAATTGGGAAAAGACTGAACCATACGGAACACCAACTTCAGTAAATAAAGGGTGGAAAGGTTCCCCGTGTCCACAGTATATTGCTTCCTTTCAGAGAAATAGAAATACAATTTGTTACTTATCCTGTTCTCAGCATTTTTTCTGGCCAGCCTATCCAACAAGAGAGGTCTTAGAACCGAATCAGAGTCTGAAGTATGATCTGATAAGGACACCTGGCATACTTGACATTTTGTCGAGAATACAAGCAATATTGTGGTGACATCCAAAGTCCTTTTTTTGTATACAAATTGATTAAGATCTCTGAAAACATTCAATGAAGTTTCAAGCACAGGTAATATTGAAAGAAGCAAAAGACAGGTATGCAGGAAGGAATGTTTATTGTCAACAAGTGGGACAGTAGTCGTTAAATATGGTACACTTTGCACTAAGACCGTCATTTGCAAAATATGCTTAATTTACTCTTCCACTTCGCTCTTGATTTGCTCTTCATACGCCTGCCTTATCTCTTGCGTTTCTCTTGGCGGAATGCTTACCATTGCTGGTAATTCCCCATGATTTCTGCCACCCTCTCAACATATACCACATATCCATTCTTATTAGCAACCCCCATTACAATATTAGCCTCTCCATTATTTTCAAGAACGGAAAAGTAACTGCAATCGGATGAATTTCAAACATGCGCCTGAAGACACTCACTTAGGTACTGGGACTATCTGAAGTTAGTAGTAGGATTCAGTGAAATGGTACAGGTAGTTGTTAATAATAGAATTTTGAGATTAATATAGCGAAGAGGTAGTTGAAGGCGATATTATAGTTAATATTGGGTTGCTTTTTTGCACAAAGGCTGACTCTGCTCATTATTTCGAATTCAAAGGTCACCAAGTACTACAGCTAAAATCTTACATCATGTATATGTATATGTATATGAACCACAGACTTCCGCATTCAACCGCCTTTATATGCATTTACCATGTTGATCCATGGCACATCGATCGGACCTAAAAATGTTTGTCAATATATATTGTGAATTTATTCCCAAGAAATTCGGAACCAAAGCGAGCAAAGTGACTTCTCAACAATAAACCGTACGCTCGAGTTACGCGTAAAATCGAAAACACAAAATTTGTCTGAAATACTGTTCTATATTGATAAGCAATATTAAGTAATAAAGTACATACCTGGAATCGTGAGGTATCTGTGGCTTTATCGATATCAAAGCACTTTGTGAAGAGTGTCAACAGTAAAAACTGCAAAGCTGTATCCAAACTAAAAGGAAGGAAAATAAAGGACGCGCGCAAGTTTCTCACAATGAGGTAAAGACGCAAGATAAATAAATGTACAAGGTAAAATAGGAAATCAGAGAACAACGAAAGAAATTAAAACATCATCATGAACTGCGAAAGATACTAATATCTACGGATGTTAAGTAGTGAACAAGATACGACTGAACAGAATGAACAGTCAAGGATATATATGAGGCAACATTATAAAAAAACCTAAGTGTACTACTCAAAAATACTAAGTAGTATGAAAACTGATGATTAAAAAAAGAATACGAAGGAAACATCGCTTAAGGTACACGAGAACAAGTAGGGAAGGAGTATATATATGAGCTTATTTAAGCATGGCTTTATTTTGCTGAAAGATTTACTGTTACAGGTTCCATCTTAGAATATTTGACACGCTTCGAATATTCCACTAGCTCGAACAATAATTTTCAAGTTATTAATTGAATTCGTTCAAGTTATCCCGTATTACCTCAAAATATCAGAGACTTTGGCTGTTCATATGCGAAAACGTCCTCTTGTGTGCCCAAGAAGTATGTACGGTCCATGTGTTTACTTTGACCAAAAAACTGTTCCTTACTCTGCTTTTTTGATGAACCTTTGCATCCATTCAGTGATTGTTTTTTACGATTATATTTACTAGTTCTGTCAGTCTTACACCCTTTCCAAAGTTAAGTATCTTGTATAGATGATTCAAAATCTCGCAAAACTTCTATTATTATCATTTCACTCGACGTGGAACTTGACATAGCGTTGCATCCATTATAATCTTCACACTCCAAAGTAATATAACAATGAAAATTATTAAAAAAATATTCAGTTAGTGACACCGTTTAACTCCATCAACTTCCTGTCTCTACTATGCCACACGTACCAGATATACGTAGTCAACACTTTGAGGCACAGCTTAAATCAGTAATAAGTCACCGGTCGGAATACTGTGAGTTTTTACTATTCTCCTGTTTGACGAAGACGCTGATAAGATGCCGAGTCTTCTTAACGGCTTGAGCAGAAATCTGAGTATATTGAGCATGTGTTTAACACATGCTTAGTGTAAAATGATGCTTGAGAACTGGTCTGAAACGACTTCTAGCTTAAAGGTTAGGAGAAAATCGGTGGAGCATGTTCATCAATTCACTTACTTGGGAAGTTGCAGCAAATCGAATGGATTGATTACTAAAATGAAATATCAGTTCGGATGCAAAAGATCCGTTATCTGATTTCTGTCCTACGCCAACGCTGACACCAGTGAAGTATCCAATCACACATCAGATGGTAAGTTTACTACACTGCAATGTACTATTGTACAGTTGTGATGTATAATCGTTGAAGGTGGAAGATATAAGGGGGTTACGAGCTTTTGACTTAGGGTGTCTTCGCAACATTGCTCGTGTGCGGCGGGATCGTCGCGTAAACAATGTTGAGGTGAGTCTCAGAGTAACTAGGTTAGGAAGGTGAAGCAGTTTATAAATTTTTCAACCTTGACTTAGTGAGATTGTTTGGACACATGCTGTGTATCCCAAGTCAGTCGGCGATTGCTTCTGAAGACCCATTCAGCAACCGAGAGGGATAATAAAAACTTCGCTTTAAGCGCTCTGTAGCGACCCCCTTTGTGGTCACCAGGATGGATCTCATCCTTTACCTTCAACCCATACCATGAATATAGACAAGCTCATCGGCCAACGCGATCCTAATAGCATATCATTCGAAGGACACAACAAATATACAGCCCTCGTCACGTCTCGCATACATCGTAAGACGTACATTATCCTGTCGCCCATGACATACCAAACAGCACATTGCCTTAAGAAATACCCTAAGCTTACAGGTGAGGTACACCGGAATGTCTATGTACTTCTGGTTAGCTCCATCATTATCCACGCTCAGGTGGATTTCTTCACTTCGATACCCTAGTACTGAACGGAAAGATCTGGGAGTGATTCGGTTAACTATGTTGGTGTCTACTTGAAAGCGGGAACCACGAAAAGGTGCATTGTCGTATAATTAAACTCCCTCCGTCTCGTAAACATCTAAGTCTTAACTTCGTTTAAATGTGAGCCGTCATCTGGGAGTTTGACCGGTAGCTCAAAATACCTATGTCAGATGACAAGGCATTTGGCTACCTTAAGAGACTCGTATTTTATACAGTCGATTTTCAGTTAGCTAGTCACGAGTTCGAACCTCGCTTTACCTGCCAACATTTATGCAACCAGATCGTAAGTACCATCAGTCCTCACGAAATAGATTTGGCTCATTGCCTAGTATGAAAACCTGGACGTCGTTGTCGAGTTACACTATTTTATTACCTTGTCATAAATTGTCATGCTTTACGTACATAATTGTAAAGCTAAAAAGACACATTATTGTGTCGTATGCTTAGCTTTCAAAAAAGCTCAGATGATTCAATTGGTGACTTTTAGGGATTGGTTGATTTCAGTGTAGCATTCGTCACGGACTGGTACTACTCAGAGAATCACTGAAAACTCCCAGTTGAAACACCGTTCAGTGCTCAATAGTCACTCACTTTGAGATGGTTACCCGTAGTTACACTACGAAGCCATGACTTATGGAGCCAATTCAATTATGTGTGAGCACAATTGTTCGCCTATGTCATTGGGTGGTGGTTGCATTATATTACAAATTGACAGAAATAGGATTCTGACCAAGGGGCTAGGTGATAACATTCTAGCCGTGAGACCTCGTAGGGACGCACTACTAAAGAGTCCCCTGATTTTCAAACTGTTCTCAGTTCATGATAAATAATACCTTGATATCTCTTGAAAGAAAACAGGAAGCGTAGGTCGACTGTTCTCATTGTACCAAAGGTGTTCAATAGACCTGCGAATACCTAGTGACTAAGTGTCGTTTAAATGAATTGAAGTCCCCAACAATAATAAATTGATGGATAAAAAACTATTCGGTAATAAATTCAAGTACACGGGGTTTAGATGACGAGTGACTTTAAAGGCCACCCTAGCAAGTGACGAAACAACCAATCATGTTTCTCTATCTTATGGAAAATTCTCTTCTCAGACGAAATATTGTAACCCCATTGGTTATTTTGGCAGTTGTTGGGATGGCCTTTAATGTCGCCCAAGATTACTGTAATATTTAGGTATGGGGGAGAAGTAAGTGTAGACACCACTGTTCAATTGATCCATAGCGTAATTCCTGTTTCTAAGTCGGTGGAGTAATATTAACAGTTTTACTTTGTTTATCTTTGAATAGTATTCATCTATGTAGGAATTTAAAGGTGATTTATTTCCTATTGATATGAAAATCGGGTTTTCTTATTGTTTGAAGTGAAGCAACCGAGTCTACTAGGTCAGTTTATAACCTGATCTTCTTACTTTAATCCTTCTCTTTGAAGGAGTACTTAAAAGATTTTCTACATTCCATTTAAAAATGATTGTTTATTTAAGTACAGTATACTTACCATGGATTTTCGCACGTACTATGACTAATTGAGTAGAATTATAATTTCTTTTACATAACTCCTGATAAATAATATTATCCTCAATCCTGTCGTAATTTTCTCATCTTTTACATCACAGATGTTCGTCGCCCTCTTGCTCGTATTGTTGGTTGGCATCAAGCTGGTTTAGAACCGGAATTAATGGGTCTCGGTCCTATCTTCGCTATCCGAGGACTGTTATCTAAAATTGGTTGGAAGATTGAATCTGTCGATTTGTTTGAAATCAACGAGGCATTTGCTTCTCAGTGTATTGCTGTGAGCTTTTTTCCCATTTTATGCAATGACTCTTCACTTCAACTTATTTTTGCAGACGTATGTAGCTCTAGTTTACTTTAATTGTTATGCAGTATCACACTTAATAAGTTATAGAAATCTTTCAGATATAAGACATTAACTGATATAAGTTTCATCCGTATGAATCTAACAAGATCAGATAGGTGATATTAGGATACTGTGTTTTAATCATTGTCATGCTAGTGATTTAATCCTATCTGCAAGCGTTATACACTACAGCTTGATGAATCACTCTAACAGAACACCAGCGATTTGTTGATGAAGTCGCAAATGATGTATGTAACAACATAAACACACTCTTAAACATTATGCATAAATAGAAACCACTCAGACTGATCTATCGATGTCGCTATCTAGATCAGAGTGATCTAAGCAACTGGTTTTGAGCCGAGTTTATCAACAGTGTACCCAGACAAATTCACCTGACAAAACCTAGTTGTTCAGATCATTTGAATCTAGCCGGGTAGACTTGAATAGATCGGTCTACCTTAAATAGGATGATGATTAGGTTGCCAATTATTTTCAAATTTCTCACAGCTAAGTGGGTTTTCAACTCCCCAACTGTGGCATCAACAGGGCATCTGTTGGAAACATGACACTTTTATATCAAGCGATCACACCTTGTTATCATGGTTAAGGAGTAGTTCCCAACAGAAAGACTGTTGAGAAACACGGTTGAACACTTATGAAACAACTCGGCTGTGAGAAATGTCAACGTGAATCCTACAGATTTTGAATAGTTTTTAAAGTGTTCATCCTATTTCTATAACAACATGCCAAAAAATAATAAATAATATGCAAGTCCGATTTGGTTAAAAGGTCAACAGTCACTGTTATGAGTAATATGACCTGGAGCGCTAATGTCTGTTAAAGAACACTTGTACACTAACCTTCAGATATCATTCTTATTCATTGTTCGATTTCAAGGAGCGGTAAGAAAAAAGTTTATTAGAAAGCCAATTTATTTAGACAAGGTATTTTCCTATTGATTTTCGCCTTTTAAACCAGTCTGTTAGTAGCTAATCTTTGTTAAAGCTTAAGAGAGTACTTCGAATGACTTTGAAACTCTTCAGGAATTTCTAGTTCCTTTAAAGTATATAGGCTGCTTGCTACAACAATGAGCAGAGAAAGAATTATGCGGTCAAGGTCTTTGGATGGTAATCATCATCACTCGTAATAGCTTCGTAGCAAAAAGTTTTTTTTCTCGATGATAGACGAGTTCCCCGCCATTCAGCCAGTGAATTGATTGTGATTTCAAACGATTGAAAGCGGTTTACTAACTCAAGTAAATCTTCTGTTACTTCCCCCAGTGAATCAACTTATCCGTATTCTGCGACAGGAAAATGTTTATTCAAGTGGGACCTAAGTAGATTGCTTTCACATTTAGCCAAGCCAGCCTTGCGTTCAAAACTAAATATTCGTACGGTAGATAGCTAATGAACTACACCCATTGTGTGAAAACTGACGATACTATCTGACTGCCCGAACCTTGGTAGACGGAGCGGGGTTCTAACTCGTTTCCTATTGGTTTGAAGTCGAGTTCCTAGACCAGTGATTGATTTCCAACAAAATCCTTCGCTTAATATGTTATATAAAGGAACCCAGACTGTTTGGTGTAACTCAGCCACTACCCATATATTTTATCAATTTCTGTGTTTTGTCTATACTTACCTAATGTTCCTCTTTATTCTTTCCTGAATTCCGGCAAAAAGACAACGCTGTATTACGTAGAATTTTGAAGGCTGTTGGTAGAGCAAGTGGTACACCACTAACCGTTCTGATAAACGTGGTCGTGCATAGGCATCTGAACTCTTGTAGACAACTGGCTACAAGTATTTTATTTGATGACAAGAATCCTTTGCACCTACACCTCTCTCCGTGTATATCCTCAGGGAAAACCAGAAGCAAATATATTAAATTCTATGCACACACAACTACATAAAAGAATTCTACTATGCCTTGTTTAGTTTGTGTATTGTGTGAAGAAAGCTATGTTAGATACAGTGTTATCAACAAAGTTTGTAACAGTGAACAGTTGTCACGTTCCTGAAGTCATTAAACATTTCAACAATGATATTCTTTATTATATATTATTAAACAGAACCATATATATATATATATATATATATATATATATATATATATATATATATATATATATATATATATATATATATATATATATATATATATGCTGTGTAACGAGTAGACTTACGCAACATCACTTGCTGAGAATTCGGTACTATGAACATAATTATAGTTCAGAATAAAACAGTAGACAGTGAAGTGGTTGAGCGCGTTGAACACTTCACTTATCTGGGAAGTCGGATCAGCCCTGATGGTGAAATTTCTGCACAGATACAAAAGGCTTGACTGGCTTTTGCCAACTTACGCAATCTGTGGCGCCGCTACGATATCTAATTGTCTATTAAGAGTCGAGTGTTCCATGTTACAGTCGGCTCTGTTCTACTGTATGGCTGTGAAACGTGGCCATTAAAGGTTACAAACGTGAGAAAGCTTCAAATGTCTGACCACCTCTGTCTTCGTAGAATAGACCGCGTTTTGTGGTGTCACCACGTGAATAACGCAGAAGTCAGGCGTCAAGTTTTAGGCAGGAGAGGTAAGACGATTAATGTTTGTGAACCTTCATCGACTGGGATATCTGAAACATGTGTTACGTATGCCTAACCACCGTCTGCCTCGTCACACAATGTTGGCGGAAGTAGATTCGGGTTGGAAAAGAGCTTGGTATGGCCAGATGAAAACATGGCATCAATGCATGAAGTCTTTGATTGCTGGTTTGAGCCATATAGGATGATGCGAATTAGCCGTTTGGGGTCTGCCGGACAAGAAAAACCAGGGGTTAGAAACTCTAGATGATACTGCTCAGAATCAACGTCAGTGGCTCAGATGTATACACACACTATCTTCATCCTAACCACTACACTTAATGTCATCATTTTCTCCCTCCTTCCTTTCTACTTTCTTTGACCAATTTTTCTTCCCTTTTTAATCTTCCATTTTATTGCCTTGTTATTTGATGTACTGATATGAAGTATGGTAACTTGGACCGTGACGCTGTAATGCCTGGTTTTATGTTGATCTTGTTGATGATGATGATGATGATGATGAACATCCATGCACCAGGCAATGAACCACACCTAATGTGTGAGGGCTAATGATACGATATAACTTCCGATTTGTGTGCACTTTTAGGTCAATCAATTCCATTTCCCACTTATTACGTAATACCACTTTAGCACCCACACCTCTCTTCTTCCCCTTCACAGATTATTTTCCAGAATAGACTATCATTATCCGATTAGTTTTCATGAATCTTGTTAAACAGAATTGAGGATGTGTTTAGGTTTTGAAAATGAGATCATTTAAAAGCAGATTTTTCGTCGCTACTGCATCTTCCTTCATTGGCTTGACATGAGGATTTTTTTTATTCGTTTAAGAAAACCTCTATATCTAAATAACTAACTAATACTTTGTAACGCATACTTTTATATACATTGCCTTAAAACTATGATTCATGCTAAATTGTACATAATGAAGATTATCATTTGACTATTTGAGATAGGCATAGTTTGGCAGACTAGTATTCTATACTGGGTGATAGATGATTGAAGGTGATCAGCTACTCATTTCCATCAAAATTCATCACTATTCTTATGTAAAGCTTGTATTTTAAAGAAGCCTTTCACCTTCACAATGAGGAATCAAACCACCAAACATGAATGATAACAACAAAAAGTTATGTGAAAGCTGACGATACTATCTGACTGCCCGAACCTTGGTAGACGGAGCGGGGTTCTAACTCGTTTCCTATTGGTTTGAAGTCGAGTTCCTAGACCAGTGATTGATTTCCAACAAAATTCTTCGCTTAATATGTTATATAAAGGAACCCAGACTGTTTGGTATAACTCAGCCACTACCCATACGTTTCACCACCGCTGGTTCGAGTCCAGCCATGGCCCAAATTCTCATCTCACCTTCAATCGTCCATCACCCAGTATAATGCAGATTCGTTGGAAACTTTCAATTAAATATGACTATCACTTCGTCATAATAAAATACTGAATAAAAAATAATGAAGGGATTGGTAATGAATGTCTGATAGAATTAACGTAGAACGTCGTACACAAGTATATCGGTGTGATATCAAGGTAGACAAAGTTGTGTGAGAGAATAAACAATTTGAGAACAATAGCTTGTGCAAATATTCAAGCTTTAGAAGAAGTCAAAGAGTAAATACATCTGTATCATTGTGACCGATTTTCAGTCATATCACCAAGAGTTCTCAACCACTAATTTCTATTGTCTCTGGGACTCCAACCAGGTAGTTTACATCTCCTCACACATAACCAAGCCAACCTCAACAATCAATTTGCTGAGTACCGTTCACCTAACCTTAACATGGCTCACACGGTGATTCCACTGGGATTTGCTATATTGTTTGGTCACCAGGTATTATCATCATTAATCCTTTATACTCACTTCTGGAGATCAAGGATTCCTGTTAGTCTTGTGGGAAATCAATCTGCATCTGAGCTACTAAGTAGCAGCAGAGAATTATGGTTTAATCGATTAATTTATTGGTGATGAATTTAAACGTAGTTAGCAAGCATGGTTACAAAAGTCTTTGATACACATCACATAAATTGTCTTCTAATCACTTGCCAACACTATTAGAAAAAATTCACCTTTTCCCCTCTTTATACTACATCTTTTATTCATTTTTCTTTTGCTATCTTCATCAGATCGCTACAGAATTGTGTATATTACCGGAAAAATTGAATATTTGCGGTGGTGCTATCGCTCTAGGCCACCCAGTTGGATGTAGTGGAGCTCGTATACTTGTAACACTAACGCATACACTACAACGTATTTCTAATGAACAATCATCAGGTGATTTCGATGTTCGACGAGGTGTAGCAGCTTTGTGCATTGGTGGCGGCATGGGTATTGCAGTTGCTGTGGAAACGTGCAAATGATCATTATAAATTATTTTTAGTCATTAACATTCCTATTACTATTTTTTCTTGTTTATTTTTCTTATGTGATTCACCATCCCCGTAGTGCATGGTCAACTTAATTTTTAAATAAGATTTGTAAAGATACTGTGCTTTACTATCAGTGTTGAAACTTACTTTTGTTGACGACCTATGAAATTCTTCACTCTTATTTCTTCAAATGATGGTACTATTTTATTGGATGATATGTCCACTAGCTGAAGATAATAAATAATAAAATAGATCGAGTCAAAGTATTCATTGTTCTTAATACATTACTATTATTCATTTTCATAAACTTTGAAAACTTTTGTTGTTATAAATCATGTTTGATTTCTCATTGTCTAGATGAAAGGCTACTTCAAGGTATAAGCTTTACACAGGAATAGTGATGAATCTTGATGGGAATGGGTAACTTTGATATCTTAAAAACGGTAATATAGATTAGTTGTTAGTAGGGATTTGGTGGTAGTGTGAGTAGATAAAATCCTTATTGCTGTATGTGTGTGTGTATCTGAGTGATTACATATTTGCTGCTTCATTGACTGATTTATCTGTCATCCTACCTAGAAACGTTCGCTTAACCATGCTTGGTGTCTTTCTGTCATCCAGCAGTTCGATGGTACATGTCTGGTTTTTATCCATCATATTTTTCAGTTATGGGCTAATTAACCTGTAAATCATTTAGTTCACTGCTCTTAGTGTATTGATAAGCCAAATTTAGTATCAGTGATTCATTTTGGATATTCTGAATTGTAATAGTATATTGTGCATATGTATGGATTATGTGTTAGCGATAATCATCTGCTTTCTATAATTTCGGTGATAACTGTACGAAAAATGGATGTAAAATAGACGATAACAACAACAACAGTAGGTTCTGAAGTCTTTGACTGTTTGTTTGAGTTATGTAGGGCGGTGCAGGTTAGCCGGTTGGGATCCACAGAACAAGAGAAACCGATGGTTGGAAACTAAATGATAACATAGCTCAGAACCGATGTCCGCGGTGCAGATGTATCCAGACATTATCTTCCAGATTCACCATTTTCCCATTCCTCTTTTTCTTTCACTGACTTCTACCGATCTTGATGGATTTCCCTTTCTTTCTTCATCTCTCACCTTATTGCTTTGTTATTTGTTGCACTGATATGAAGAGTGACAACTTGGAACGTTGTATAGTAATGCCTGGTTCTATGTTGGCATTAATGATGATTACTGACCCTCATGAGTCGTTGAAGACCGCTAACTGTAATTAGCATGAGTTGCACGAATTTCATCAAGTAGTTTTACGTGTTTCAATCATTTTCATCTTAAATGAGGATTCTTGCAAATATACATATCTTTTAGAATGTGAATAAATTTTTAAGAAGGAGAGATATTTATTCACCTGTATAGAGCAATCGTGTTCAACAGTCTCAAGTATTATATTGAACTGGTAAAGGAGATGATTATTCAAATGTAATACAACTCGCTTTAGTACACTTGTTCCTCTACTAGGTTGTGAGCCATATTTATTGCGACAGATTAAAATACCAACCAACCACTTGCGTAAAGTGAGGTGAGTGTAGCTGGGTTTGAACTCCCAACCCATTAGTTAAGTGCCTGAGTCAAGTTAAAAGGAAACTTCGCCTATAATCACAATCCAAACCATAATCCTTTTGGCTTATCGACTTGGTGCTTTACTGCTAATGGAGAAGTGTTGGTCAGGTGTCGACGAGTTCTTCTTGTTCGTGGTAAAAAAAAGATATGCGTAACTATATTCGCTTCCCACGTGGAGCTGTAGCTCATTGGTCTATGCACTCGACTTCGAGCTACGGGTCACAGGTTGGAACCCCGTCCCATCTACTGAAGTCTGGGGAACCAGACAGTATCACTAGCCCTCATACAACAGGTTTGGTTCATTGCCTCCTACAAGAATGTGTAGACGGTTTTGGAGAGCTTTTCGATTCTTTTTTTCTGGTTTAACCAGTTATCGAACGAATAAATTGACTGTCTGGTATTGGGATATCTCAATCTGTTTAGCGAGCACGATTGTGTGCTTGGTTGGAGCTGTTATATGACGTTGTGAATATCTCTTACTTCCATTGATTTTTTGTTTTGTAATGTTCATCTCATTGATCTTAAAGTTTTCTCTACATTTATATAGACTACTATAAATAAATGTGGGAAGTGAAAATGAATATAATCTGTTTAATTTGTGTTTCGTTGAAATCACCTAGGACAAATAAACTATTTAGTGTCTCAGTCATGGAGAGTGAAGAACGACTTCACAATTCTACAGTCCCCTGCGAACGTATTTTTATTCAGCGAGATTATTCCTCTGGTACAGCAGTACGTTTTCAAACTCTGCCTATGCCACTTCAACTTCGAGGTCGTGTAAGTTAGTATAAAATAGCACTTTGAAGTTCAAATTATTATTATCATTAGACTTGTCGCTATTTTTGGGTTTTTCGATTTACAAACAGATTCCTCCCAATCGGTATGCTGATGCAATTGCTCGTTTAAACAAATTATTCGATGAAGCTGAAACGATAACATCTGCTGTCTGCTTAGAAAATCTGTTCGGGTGTTTAACGGCATACTTGATATTTTTATGCATGAAAACGCATTATGATAAAGTAAGCTTATATATACGTATATGTGACTACCGAAATAATGTTTCAGTAAAGTGAGAAATTGTTACGATATCTCTGTTGACCATAGATTTCTTTATCCAGTTTAGAGGTGTATACAGGTTGTCTGAATCATTAACACAAATGATTACTTTTTATTGAACCTAAATACACCAGCCAAGTGTAATCGATTGTTAAAGGTTTTATTGCAATAATCTCATTCACAAGTTATACACTGACACATACAGGAAAGACTACTGAATCAAGGTGCATAAAAATCCACTACAAAATGGTGTACAAACACACACAAAAAATGACCTGTAAATATCAATAAATAGTACAGATGACAAAACACATACTAGTAACCTACGTTGTTTATTCAGTCTAGAACAAAAGTACGGTCCAAGGTTGTTAAGGCATACGGTACAGAAAGGGATTATGCATGACATTAAAGCATGTATTTTGCTACTTAAACTGGTAACAGCATACTTCATTAAGAGAAAATTGTTAAAAGTGATGACTGACTGGAATAAATTGATTCATAAAACAAGAGATGTTCAGCGAGTCACTCTTTTCATCAATGTCAAACTGTAGGAACGTATACGTTAATTGACGACAAAAAAGGAAATGTTTCGTAAAATACTTTTTGTCCCATTTTCGGACTTGTCAGCCCGATGTACCTACACCCCAATGAGTGACGTTATTCCCACTGGAACTCGAACTTCGTACCCATCACTTCAAACGTCGAAGCGTTACCCACTACCCCGCTGATGCACGATAGCGACATCTTGCCTAAACCAAACGTTGAACAGTATCTATTGTCTATGTGCATTCGAATGGCTTAAGATAGCACATCATTTACTATTGATCTTGAAAACTCTTCATAAGATACACTTTTTTGTGAGTTAACAGAAGTCGAAAAGCGTGGGCTATTTGGTTTTAACTCAACAGCTGAATAGCAACGTACTGTTCATAAGAGCTAATTATGTCGAGTTTTGTCTATCATAAGGGTATATGTACGTCCTGTGAAGAGTGCTAAATGAAGTTGAAATAACTAATATAATGTTCCCTGGTTTTCAGTGGGTTCTCTAGCTGATGGCAATCTGTAATTTTCGAGCATTTCAGTACTACTGTTTGGCAAATGTCTCTAGAAAACGATATTGTTATGCAGATAATTGCTCTTTGTGGTGTAATTGCTCTTGTTACATAGAATGATTTGATCATACTGATTACACCCGCCTATTACAATCACCTGGTTCTTTCTTCAAGGCTTTTCTTTTCCTTGAAATTTAAATGAGTAGTAAAGTAATCAAGAACAGAAGGTGTATTTATTACTAGTTCTGTTGAAATATTCTTGTTGTCAAAAACAGGTTACAACAACGTAGAGATCGCAGGTGTACCGGTCGAACTTTCAATACGATACACCTCAGCCAGCAAAGAATTCCTTGAAAGATGAACAAAACAGTATGACTGGTCTAGAATTGATTGAGTGAATAATAACAATAAATATGCAAAGGATAATAACGTAATGAGACACTTAAACTGGGTACAAATAGCTACTGTGCTCCCTAAGAACTTTATGCTTCATTGAGCGGCGAAGATAAGAAGACAAAGACGGGTCTGCGACCATAAAGAAGATACTATTTGACGAAGACCATCATTTATATAGTTTTCATGAACATGTTAAACCACTAGATCAAAAGTTGGATATTTGTTTTGATAGGTCAACTGTAGGATAAAACTGTCCAATAAGATTTTTCCTGACCATAGTAATATGAAACAAAGGTTGAAATTCAAAACTTCTACTTTAATAGATGGATACTTAAAGTGGTGATTTCGATTTAGACCGCTCCCTATCAGGTCTCATTCAGTTATCATTTGAACTATGAGATGATACGATTTCCAGACAAAAAAAAGCACATTTTCATCAAACCAAGCAGTTACACATGTCATTACTTCTCGTGTAGAGATTTCGCTGGAGAATCTATAAATGTCATATGAATCCAAACAGATGATGATTATTCTTATTCGCCTATATTCTCTCTTGTTGACTTCTTTTTTGATATGTTGGTGTGCAATGTATAACCTTGACTAATTACGCATCTTTGCTTGGTTTTATGTTGCTTACATGTCGACCATCATGGTTCACCATCTGAGATTTTAAAACTAAATTACCATTATATACAAATATGTTAGAGTAGTGTAGTTATAACGTGTATGGAAAAATTAAAATGTATAAAAACAGACCCCAATTAATAGTCACTGACACATTGTTCTAAAAGATAGGTTCGTAAAGATTCAGAAAAGTCGGTGTACTTCGTTTGTGTATAGTCCATTTTTGAATACATTCAGTGAATTCAAAATAGTGAATATTAACAATTAGTCCAACCTCAGGCTATGGAGGTCGGATTGAACAGAGACGTATATTTAACCCATTTCGCAAATAGGTAAGACGATATAAATGGATTACAATTCCACCAAAATGAGAACATTTAGCACCTTTCAAAACCTATCATGATTATTGATTTACTTTGTTAGTACAAAGTTTATTAAGGTAACTTGTAGCTAGCAGAAGAACGCAGAACGCGCGTTTTGTCCTACTTGGAACTCGTCAGCTGGATGTACCTGCACCTCAGTGAGCGATGTTGTTCCCAGTGAGGCTCGAACCTCGCACTCACCAAATGCCAAGGCGTTACCCACTATGCCACGGAAGGACGATAGCCACTTCTTGTACAATGGGAAGTAGTTATTACTACTTGATAACAAAATTTATCCTTAAGATAGCACAGTTTTTCACATCAACTATACGCAGTTAGCCACACTTTTGTTACGAGGGTTGGTAATACTACCTGGCTACCCTAAATGTTGGTAGGTAGAACGGCAATCGAGCCAGTCACTCACTGGTTGAATCCTAAACCAATGAAATGCAGTAATTTCCTCATAATTGTCCATAGATCTCGTTGTCGTAATCTACCTATGGAAAAAGTTTATTGAAGGGCTAGTATGCGCTCGAAAAAGAGATAGTAGCATATTCCATTGATTTCATATCAAACTTCAATCAGATCAGCGTGGGAAATATATATTAACAGGAAACCATATTTCCACCAATTACAATATTCCTTCCAGTTGTACAGGAAGTAAGTCGCGACTTAAAGGACTCAGTGGCAACGTTTCATACTGTAGCATTGGGTGATTCGGGTTCGGATCTTCGAAAGGATATCAATCTTTTTTAGATTGCCGATACAACTTGCTGACGAATGCGATAAAGCACCAAACATAGGTTCAGGGCTTCTGGCCGATCGCTTTCAACTACCTAGCTTAAGTCCTATTGAAAGTTTGCTACAAGGAATATCATATCGAAAGAAGTTTCAGTATGCTTATAATTGCCAAACATTTAGGAGATAGCCAACCGTTCTCGATGATGAAGTTTATTTTTTTCAAATGCAGTCAACTGATATGTGAACTCCCAGTCCATGGGTTTCTTTAATTAACAACTCCTAGATGAACGTGTTAATTTTCAGATAGTTTTTCGTCTACATAACTTAAAACTGTTCACTTCATCGAATTCGTATTGTTCGATGTTATTTTATAATGATAAGATAATTAAGTTGGACCACCTCAGTATTACGAAGGTTGTTATCACTTTTATAATGAAATTGCTTACAGTCTCATGATAACAAGTGTCAGTCTTGCTGCCTCAACTATTGTTTACTCATCTCTACGTCTCCTATCCATGTATATTGTTTAGGTGTATAAGTATTTCAAACTTGCCATTGTTTTCTGTTAGTTACTAATTGAAGCTCCATTGTATTTTAAATTCTATCTGAAGGTTTGTGTAGATTTAATAATTGATTTTAGGTTGAAATTCATCATGGACTGACACCAGTTGGAGGAACATTGGAAATCTGGGAACACTCGACAGCTGTTTCGTCCTAGTATGGGACTTCTCAACAGTGCGCACCTATGACCCCATCCTTCAGGGATTGAACCCAGGAATTTCATGTTCCATGGCTAGCACGTTACCGTTCAGGCACTGGGTTGGAGTCCAGTAGTTCATATTTCCTACTGCTGTCAACTCACGATATGGTGCGACCTAAATCCATTGTCGTTGTTGAGTAACTGTCCTCATGTTCGACTTCGTTGATTTCACTGGTCACTACTTCTGATTGAAACTTCGGGAATCACCTCTCGAAGCTAGTCACCAATGAGCGCTAGATTAACTCTATGTGGATGTTTGTAGAGATTTATTAATTGATTTTTAGGTTGGAATTAATCATGGACTGAATCATTAATGTGTTCAATTTCAAAATCATCGAAACTTCCCATTACAATCCAGAAGTCATTTACATGAAGAAACAACATTCTTTTCCACAACTTCACATTTCTACAGTTTTATATATATATATATATATATATATATATATATATATATATATATATATATATATATATATATATATATATATATATATATACTGAGAAGTTATGCGTCAGCAATATAAAGATTCTGCTCATCAATTTTTTAATAATATTTATAGTACAGTTAAGGTAGTCAATTGAGAAAAGTCATGTGTAGACGTTTATGATAGAACCAATCGTTACTAAGATTCAATTCAAAATAACTAGTTATCTAAATGATTATGTGGCTTAAGTAATACTATGACGTGATATCGTAAACTTCAGGATCAAACTTCCACCTAACAGGGTTCAAAAGGTCAAAGTGAGCAAATGAAATGTATTTGTAAATTCCCAATTAAGTAGGAAAATAAGTTTCTGACGTTTCACGACCTCCTCGAAATCGCTTCGTCAGAGAATAAAACCTGTACATGTTATCGATTGTTTAAATAGTAAATGGTGACGAATCAGATCACATTGTCGTTTATACATGGTAATAATATGAGCATAAATGTCATTGTTGTCCTGGTAAGGAAGCGTTCACAATTTGTGATATGAATATGTGCACATGTGACTGGGCGTGAAAGTGTAAGAGAAATAAATAATATGAATGATAAATTTCGGTTTGTTTGTGTATATGTACTTTGGTTCTGATCATTGTGTGCGATGTGTTGTTTTCGGAAATACTTACTGGTTGGATAGTTAGGCCTTCCTTTCTGTTGAGTGCATTAAGATTCAATATAATGTGAAATGCCTCTGCTACTCTTCTTTCTTTGTAGTTTGAAAATCCTTTTTGAATAATCCTAATATTATCAATATCGATTTTGTGACTGTGATAGATGGCATGAGCTGCGATCGCCGACTTGATTTGTAAATTCTCTAGTTCTACAGAATTATTTGGCGGTCGTTTTGTGTAACTTGCATGTTCTTTAGCCCTAATGAAGATCTCACGGGATGATTCTCCAATATATTAGGCATCACAATCGGCACAGACTAATTTGTAGACACAATTTTGTGTGTCTCCAAAGAATCATAAGGAAGCACCGACTTAGAGCCTTTTACAAGACAACCAACACTTTCAGGAATGCCCTAGTCAACGTAAAAGATAATGTTCCCTTTACCTCCACTGTTTAATAAATCAATAGGAAGGTGTTTATTATCATTTGACTATCTGAGATAGCCGTAGTTGGGAAGACTAGTATTTACATTGGGTGGTGATTGAAGGTGAGATGGAAATCTGGACTGCTGCCGGATTCGTACCAGGGACTACCGGGTTACCCGCCGGATGCTCTGCCAACTGAGTCACGACATTCGACTGCTGACCAGATTTTTATCTCGACTCAATCACCAAGGGTTTTGAGCGACTATCATGTGGATACGTGGCGCAGTTCTACCGCTTGGTCGTATTCACACTGGCTGCCTAGTCAGGACTTCTCATCCCAATCTAAATGAAACTGAATCAAAGAGAGGGAGCATCATATTAATTATCCTTTGACTATCTGAGATAGCCGTAGTTTAGCAGACTAGTATTTATACTGAGGGAAGATTGAAAGTGAGATGAAAATCTGAACCGCGGCCGGACTCGAACCAGCAACTACCGGGTTACCTGCTGGGTGCTCTACCAACTTAGCTACGAGGTCCGACTTCTGACTAGATTTTTATCTCTCTTTAGTCACCAAGGCTTTTGCCCGACTACCTTGTGACAATTGAATGAAATAATTTAATTAGGACAAAATACGTTAAGAGAATTTGTTATACTTAGACTATAGGTAAGTAGGAATTAGATGACCTACGGCAGGATGCTTAGGAATTTGTGCGTCCCGAATCTGGCCACGGTAGTCGTAGAGACAAAACTTGTTTCTTCTGATCCTGATTGCTACTGCTTCTGCAGTTTGAAGAATCCTTTCTTGCCATTTTTGTGATCATATGTTTCTTTATGAACTCAGCCATTTTCGACGAGTGTGTTGCACAAGATCGTCAGTTTCACCTTAAATGTGTCTTCCGAGTAAACAGCCTTTATTCTGTAACTTAAAGTTTTTATTAAATTTCTTTTGTACTGAAGGAGGACGAAGCTGAGAAAATGTATCCATTGCCCCGGTCACGTACTTTTCGTAAATAAATTGCTCTTTATCGACTCATATTTTCGTCTTACGAGAAGAACGTCGAGAAAAGCTATCTTGCCTTTTGATTTCCCTCATATTTGAACTCCATTGCTGAGTGTACTACAATGAATCTACTGGGTACCGTTGACCTGTCAGGATGGAGATATCATCGATATATCTACAGGACAAAGATAATTCTCTAACAGGTCGTTCAAGTAAACCATTCTATAGTTTCGATAGAAAAATCCCCGCTAATATGCGACCTAGTGGCGAGGTCGTTGCTACTCCGTCCACTTGTCTATCAAGGTTAACCGCTAAATTTAAAGTTAAGATTCATCGTACACTTGAGCAACAATTCTTTTAGGACATCTATCAGGATTCCAACATCGATGGACTTTTCCTCCAGTTGTTCACCTACATAGTTGACTATCTCAAGAAGAGAAACATTAGTGAGTAGAGATGTGGTATCATAGTTTTATTCATGATGTTAACATCTTTAATTCTCTCTATAAATTCAAATACCTCCTTCACTCTATGTTTTACTAGCTGTTTGCGTAAAGGTTGAAGAATAGCGACCAACCATTTCGCTAGAGCATGATAAGGAGAATTTTGCATTTCACAAATTGGTCTTAGTGGCACTCTTCATTTGTATATCTTAGGTGGGCGATACACTGTCGGAACATAAGTGCCCGTAGGTTCCAATACATCACACATCCTAGATGATATTATATGGTTGCACTACCAGTTTATTCAGAGATTTAGTCAATTCTCTTTTAATTTTATCATTCAGGTATTTTTGGCCTTCCAATTGCTGAAATTTCATCTTATGATTCAGTATTTCATTCACCTTGCTTATGTAATCACGTTTATCAAGAAGAACTATTGTATTTTTTGTTTGTTACTGTTGTAGGTGTTGCACAAAGTCACATTAGCTGTTGCTGATTTAAATGAGAAACTGTTTCTACCGAATGGACTGCTTATGATTGATCCATCTGAACGTGGACTTAGAGTTGTATCCTTTTTATTTTTTTGGCGGGAAGCGGGAGAAACGTGCAATTCTATCATTTCAATAGGCCGATGAAAGTGATTGAAACAGCAAAGATAACGAATACAAATGTATATTTGGTGAATTATGTTTAAAATGTTATTTCATACATACATGAAATGCTTTACGGTGAGTAGATGTGAAGTATATTGATCTCGGTGACTAGCAGTGGAATCCAGGAGGTGCGTTCCGTCCTACTTGGGACTTGTCACCTGGATGTACCTGTATCCCAGTGAATGATGTTATCCCATTAAGTCTTGAACCCAGTACCCTCCGCTTCAAATGCCAGAGCGTTATCCACTAAGGTAGATACACCCATCTGACGAGTGCCAAATAAAGTGAAACACGCGTTCTGGATTCCTCTGCTAGTCACCAAGATCAATATAGCTTCATGAATAATCAGCAGTATCGAGGCCTCCGCATGGCAGCCTATCTGCCAGCAGAGGTGGAGCGATTCGCCACTGTATAGCAACGGGAAATTAAAAGTATCATAACAACGGATATGAAGTGTTTTCAATGAGAAAAATTGGTATCGACCTGTTTGCTTATAATCACAAAGTGGAAAGGTAAATACATGTTATTTATCAAATTGAATTTTATTTACCATATAACAGGAAAACAACCTAAGCAGATTGTGTGCTGAGGATAATGACATTTGCGGTCTCTGTATACGAGAACAATGCTTGCATCGACTTAAGAACCACATACGAAATCATCTATCCAACAAGCCTAGGTCATCAAACCCGGATACACGTAGTGATATCCGAATTGGCAGTCTACTAGTTGGAAACTAACTTTCCTATTGGCACAAGTTACATCGCACTTGTTACTGAACGACTTACACATATAACTAGCACTGCTTAGTACAGCGAATCGATTAGCGGTCATTTTGTAAACTACTAAACGCTTTGCTATGAACATACTGTTTATATATGTATGTTTGTCACATTATGAGCTCCGTTTCACCTTCTTAACCTGTTATTACAGATAGAATTATGCATATTCCATTCGCAATGACAAACGAATATCTGAAAATGGAACTGTTTGTTTCATAACTTTTATCATTATATATACAAGTATGTTCTTCTCTTTAGTGTATAACAGGTAAAAAGCTGGTGCACTTTAGGATTTCATATCATATAATGATAAATATGTTCGACTGTCACCTCGTTTCCCTCTTTTACATACACCTTTCAAAAAAATTATTTCATTTTCAAGCTTACCACATCATCTATAAATTCAACGTTTTTTCCTCTCTCTCTCTCTCTCAATTATAGCTTCGATCTATCTAAACTTTATTGTGTATAATAATGAACTTATGATAGATCAGTTCCTAAGTATTATAAGTAAATAAAACGTATCTAATTCATTAAAAGCCTTTCTTGTTGTCATCCAAGTACCAGATTATCTTTAAGCAACGATAACACATCACACAACCATAAGATGGCGAATTTAACTTTGAACCTGTATGTGTTTTTTATGAATGAAAAATCGCAACTTTAAAACTAAGTATTCATGTTGGTGACTGACTAGTAGTGGAATCCTGGACGCCCGTTTCGTCCCACTTGAAACTCACCAGCCGAACGTACCCGCACCCGAATAAGTGATGTTGTTGCCACTGGGACTCAAACCCGGTAACCATCGCTTCAAACGCCAAAGTGTAAGCCACTAGGCTGCTATGGCACGCGAGACACTTGTTGTTTATTGATACTTGTAATTTCCCGTTGCTACACAAGGTTGATTTGCTCAACCCCCGTTGTCAGGTAGCCTCATATGCGGATGCCTTGATATTCATGGACAATGAGGTTGTCTCAGCGGGAACAACATCACTGAGTGGGGTGCAGGTGTATACACCTGACGACTCCTAAACACGACGAAACGCGCGTCCTGGATTCCCCTGCTAGTCAAAAACATGAATATCCGACAGCACCAAGCCATTGGGATAGAAGCTTATTTGCCAACATAGGCTGAGAAATTTGACCCTGTATTGAAGCTGCATAGTTTAAATGTTAGCAGTTCATGCAAGTTGTTTTCAAAATAAAACAGTGAACATATTGAAACAATAAATATATTTCGTAAATACGTAGAAATGAGAATAGGAACAGCACACAGAACTCATATGTAGAATCTCATCCATACAAAAATTTTAGCTTTTCAACATTCATTAGCCAGAAAACGAACAAAGTAGTCGACTATTAGAGGTAGTTATGTACTATGTCCGATCCTGTATATGGAATTTACTGGGTCGGTTATTGATCACATGAAAGCTGGAATGGGATGGCTGTATTATTACTTGCTCACAGCACTTAATTTAGTGACTCATTAAGCCTGAATAACGAGTGTCACTAATCCCCGAGTTGGTGAACACTGACTGACTAATTTTAGTGCGATTGTTTGTCACTTATGCACGAATGATGCCGTCAAAACAAGTTACCTACGAACCACTTCACAGATAATTAATTGAAGGTTATAAGGTGATCGATGAGTTTATACCGATATCTACTAAGTATTATTTGTTTGTTCATCATGATGGTAAGATGTTCGGAATTCTGAAGAAAACAAAGTGTACATATTTTTACTATCGTGATCGATTTTGCAGTGTTATAGATGACGATCCTCAAACACTAGATCCTTGCCACTCGATAACCTTTATCACGTAGTCTGCATGGTTAAGATCAGAAATATGTGATGCACGAATAAGTAGCACGTACTCATTCCGCTACACACCTTTTCTCCCACACTGACCTTGCTCGACTGGTAGTTGCTACCCTGAAGTGGTGGTCAGGTTTGGATATCAGAATAGTCCAGTGAGCCAAGTCGGCTGGATTGATTGTTTCTTGAGGTCAAATTATACAAGAAACGTAAAACTAAAACCAGTCGCTGTTATACCGAATGGCCCATGCAGTGATGTACCTTCAAGGGCGAAGTCGCACTGCTGGTTGGACGGGATGTGACTACAATAAGGCGTTTTCTGTGATTAACCAGTAGTCCATGCTAATGCTACTTTCCCCACTAAAGGGGCAAGGTCATCCCAAAAAAGAGGAAATTGCTCACTGTTCTAGATTCAAAACTTCACTTCTGTGTAACTGGTCCCAAGCAGCTGTCCTTAAGACACTGCTGCCACGAGCGTCTACTACCAACAAGATTGTTATGATGTAATTTACTACACTGTGATGGGGGGTGAGAGGACAAACCCGTATTGCTGCTAGCTGGGTGGGGTGTGATAGCAGTAAGGTGTTTTCCTTAGATGACCAGCAGTGCCACGCTGATGCTGCCTTCTAAACGAGAAGGAAGGTTAACAAAATATCGGCGCCCCAAATTGACACACTCCACCATGCCCCATGGTCTTCCGGTGCCGGCCGTTCTCGCATCCAGGTTTAAAACAACCAAACGGCAACGTCATCCGAACCGATTGATGCGAAAATAATTCCAAGTGGCTGGCTCTGACCACGATGAAAACCGAAAGCAACTCAGAAGTAAGTTAACCAAGAGTCTACGCAATGATCGCAAGCAGCGATGGGTGAGAGAGAGATGGAGAAGGCATCAGCGTTGAGTAACACTTGGCAATTATTTAGGCTATTAAGGATAACAGCAAAAAGACCATGGTTAGTGAAATCATCGTCGAAAAGGATGGGATGCTAATAACCTCCAAGGACAGGCAGCTAGAACGTTAAGCAGAATACTTCGAAGCACAGTTCTACTGGTCCTCAGCAACGCTTCAGTGGCCCAATACCTAGCGTGAACCGAAATAGGTGCGATGTCAGTCCTCCAACTCTCGTTAAAGTTGTGAAAGCTGTGTCGAACCTGAAGTGATGCAAAGCAGAATGACTTGAGTTTGCTACTTGAAGTTTTCAAGGACGAAGGTAGAAAACTGCTAATTAAGGTGACGGAGGTACTGTGTAGTATATAGGAATCAAAGGTAGTGCCGTTAGATCGGTGTACCTCACTGATCATCCCGGTCTATAAGAGGGGAGATAAATCTTGTGACAACCCTGGGGGGATCGGTTTGACTAATGTCATGTCCAAGGTCATAGGGACCATAGTTATCCGACGCCTAACTGGAACTCTACTCCAGTAAACCAGGCAGGTTTCAAACAACTGGGCGAGGGTGCATCAACATTTACGCCGTACGAAAGGACCTTGAACACAAGCTTAGTTACTGGTGGCCGATACCCACCATATTCCTTAACCTGAATACGACATTCGACTCCGTCAACCGTGAGTTGCGGCAGTGTCCGGTTGTAAAGGGAGAAACGAGAAAGCACAAATCGCTAATCGAAGCTCTCTACTTGAATTCATGCAGCCGTGTCAGGGTTTGTGAAGAGCTGTCACTTGAATTGACGACAACTAGTGTTCTTTGCCAGGGATGCCTACAGTCCCAGTTTATATTCAAATTTTCTATAGACGTACTAATGGATATAAACCTAGGTACTTCCGACCTCATAGGGCTTTACCTACTCCGTGGAAATTATTTAGTTGACTTGGAGTATGCAGACGATACCCCTTCCCACCAGCTGGGTGAAGACGCTGATAACATGTAGGGTCTTCGGAAAGCATTGAGCAGGAATCTGAATACGTTTGGTATGCGTCTCACTATCACCTATCAAATGTAAGATGATGCTCCAGGACAGGTCCGCAATCACTCCCACTTTGACAATAGGGAGTGAGGGGGTGGAATGTGTCGACCACTTTACCTACTTGGGGAGTTGCAGCAGCTCGAACAGACTGGTTTGCGACTAAATTTTAGCTCGGATACACAAGGCCCGTTTAGCATTTGCCAACTCGCCTCACCTGTCGCGCCGACCGGCGAGATGTCGGAATATCCATCAAAGGTCGAGTATACCAATCTGCAGTCCGTTCTGTCCTGTTGTACGGCTGAGACATGGCCGTTATAGGTGGAAGACATGAGGCAATTACTGGGTTTCGACCATATATCACCGTGTGACCAATGTTGAGGTCTGTCAGACGAAGCGTACTAGGCAAGGTAGGCAAGTCGATCGATGAGATTGTGAACCTTTATCGGCTAAGATGGCTTGGACACGTACTGCGTGTGCCAAGCCACCGCCTACCTCGACGTACCATGCCGAGGGAGATCGGGAGGGGGTTCAGGATGGTCAGACCAAGACGTGACACCAGTCGATGAGGTTTCTTATTGTTGGTCTGAGTCGTGTGGGGAGGTGTAGACTGCCTGGTTGGGGTCCACGAGTTGAAATGAAAGTGGTTGGGGAATCTTGGTGACATGGCTGGAAACCAGCTGCAAAGGCCTAAATGTATCCACTCCTAGACATCTCAAGTTAGATTATCTGCACAAACCTTTATCCCCAATCTTTTTGTCTTCTCACTCAACTCTGACTACTCAGATATAACTCTTCTCTCTATCCTCTTATTCTTTAAATACCGGTATTAAGTGTGGCAACTTGAACCTATACATCTGTGTATGACATTCTACGTTGATTTTGTCACTATCAGTTAGTCACTAGTCGACAGCCGTCTATGCACTGCTTATTCGCAAGTCTCGCCTACGTGCAAACTGGCAGCAACTCACATGATAGGATGAGTTCTATCGAAAGCTGTTAAATATGCCCCGTAGAGAAAAACGTTCCGATAGTCATATTGGCAGACAACTTCCATACTCAAGTAGGTAAGCTGAACAAATCAGAAATTCGTCCAGGGGTATCTTCAGCATGGCATGACAATGGTGATCGCATATTACAACTGTATTCTGACAATCCTTTGCCTCTGACCAGCACAAACGTTAAGCATGCGGAGATACTTTCTCACTTGACATCCACCGAAATCAAGCCAACAATAGACACAAAAAGACTACATCTCTTAAACCAATTGTTGGAGAGGATTTTCGCTTTTTCTGAAGCGCCACAGTATTTTCGTTACGTCTTGACCAAAATATAACATTTGCGTAATGGTCCAAGCTGATGTGCTTCACATAAAACCACCTAGTTGCAGTTTAGCTAAAATGAAGTGGAGTCATTATGATTTGAAGCCATAAAGGGCTGTAA